GGCGGATCAGGGATCACAGATTCTCCACTCATCCATCAGGCCTTCATGTCTGTCTGTATAAAGGCGGGACACACTCTGGGCTGGTGCTCGGCAAGAGTAGCCATCTTTTGCTTGGCCTTTCCAGTTGCAACTCTGAACCTTTTCAAATTCATTGCTCAACTAGTGCAAACACTTCTGAAGTGTGGGTTTGCTCTCAGGCCGGCTGGATTAAAGCTAGTTGACCTGCGCCTCACAGGTGTCCATCTTGGACTCCAGGTTCTTCATCTGCTGCTCATTAGCCTGTGTTATTATATACTAACACACCAGCAGTTAACCCCATGTGAGAATGCACTTTCAAGACCTTAAACAACAATCCAATAACACAGCTGATGAAACAGTTTACAATTCTTAAAGGCCCTTTGGTGGCCTCTAGTGGCACGTTAGCCACAACTGCAGGCCCTCCATAGCCTACAACAGTGCATTTAAACAGCTTCAGAAGCAGTGGTGCAATGAGGTTTAGGGAGAAACAGCATAACATGAGTTCAGCTTTAATTCAAGGAAGGAAGGCCTGGTTCCTTTTCTGTGGGGAAACACATTTTATTGCATGGAGCCTTTTGCTGATAACAATATGGTTCAAATATCCTAACCAGCTTTAAAAAAAGCATCCTGCATGTACAAATTGCTTACAAAAGCCAGGTGTTAATTTTAAGCATGGGTAAGACAAAATTCCAGGGGAATCCAAAATTTTAGTCTTCCTAATTCACCATGCGTCACAAAAGAAATAAATGTTAAGATTCTCATTCAAATGCATTCATTTTCCTTACCAGCAAACCCCAAGAGCCTGGGCTACACTACAGGGCTCTGCTCTGAGCATTTGAGCAATCTATATTCATAGCACAAAAACAACAGACTTGAATCTTGAATAGGAGCTTGTTTGTTTAGGAACAATTTCAGATGAAAATATCAAATTTATGAGAAGATGAACAAGGCACAGAGACTGTAAGAGCAAATTGAGCACTTGTTTAGATTGTTGCATATTGGGATAGGGCTCATTTTGAGACCGTTACAAGGTCATGCAATCTCCTAGGAAACAGGATAGCATTGCATGTGATGAGTGCATTTTATATTAGAATTGACACTTTTCACCTGTTCATGCGAATGAGCAATGTGTGCTCATAATGACATGATCGCTTTCCAACATAAAATGTATTCATTCATCCTACTGGCTGCTGAAACATATTAGTTCACCACTCAACATTGGACGTGTAATACAAGTCTTAAAACCAACAGTGAAACTTTTAGTGGACTAAACCAATTAAAACTCGAAAAGACAAATCAGGCCAAACAGAACTTGCTGAAATGATCATTCTTTTTTTTAGTATGGGAAATCAAATACTTAGATTTTTGTCACAAACAAGAATGTATAATCCCATATTGATCCTTTTAAATGAAAGATTACAAGAAGTCCATTTCAACAACATGACTGGGCATTCTATTCTACACTATTTGAGACAGTTCTCTTATTCTCAATCTACAGTAGATGCATCACTTAAATTCCATTTGTGTCATTGTTACACTGATGCGTTTGAAGATGACAAATGGGCAGACAGTCAATACCTTTCAGAAATAAAGATACTTCATTCAAACGGTCTCAGTCTCTATTCTAGATTCAGCTCCTTCTTTGTAAGATGTACCTTTAGAAAGAGTATATTGGCAGGTTGTTCATTGAACACTTTCCAGGATATAAATCACAGTTTGTTTTTGTAAATCAATCACAAAAAGACTTGAACTCTTTGTCCTCATTTCTTAGAGTTGTGACTGAACAGCAAAAAACTGTTTCAGAATCATAAAGACCTTACAAAAAAGATGTTTCAGAATTCAAACCCCTAAATGTGTATGCTGATAGGCATCAAAAACATCAAGGAGAACTTGGTTCAAACCAAATATAAACCTAAGACAACTAAGATGTGCTAATGAAAACTTGCCAAAGCATATTTAAGTTAACCTGAATAATACTAAAATATTCCCTAGTAATGCAGGATATCTTCAGTATGATATTGAATGAAAAAATATGAAGCAGCACAGAATGGGAGCTATTGCAGGAGAATCGCAGATGGCAGCTGGTAAATCTGTGTTATTCAGTTAGATCATTAAAATTAGAATGCATTTTTCATTGTCTATATCCAGTCTAACAAAGGCTACAGTTAGGAAACAGCCTGCATGTTTTGTGCTTGGAATACAGCACTGGAAGAATTTCAAATATCAGCATGCTGAAAATTCCCTGCCACTAAGAATGCTTTTTAATCATGCATATTTTCATAAGAATTCTACCCATTGTGCAAACGGAGTTATCAGACTACATTTTTCCACACTATATAATTCTATTCTATCATATTGAGTACGACACCCGAATGTCTCACAGTTTATAATTAAATCATTGTAAATGTGAAATTTAAACAGTTTTAATAGCAAGCAGAAGATAAGTAATGTTTGGGTAATAGGATTAAAACTGTTTTATAATACAACAGTATTGGGCTGACAAGAAGGAAATGGCAGTATTATTGTATGTATTCATGGTGGAATTATTATTGAGGAAGTATAACATTATTTCTACCACCGATGGTGTCAATTGTGGTAGTATACATTAACCCTGCCTACTGTGATGTGTACTAACAGGTAAATCCATTCATACTCAACAAAAAATTCAAAGAGTAATCATACCTTAGCACAAACTCACACCACTGGAGCAAACCAAATGTGAGAAAATTAAGTCAGGTGCTCACAGTGCCAAAACAATTTGTGCTGAACATACAGTAGTATAGGGACCAGTGGTCAAAATACTAAAACAAATTTTAAGAATAAACAAGAGAACACAAAACAAAATAAAGATTTCTTAAAGATATGTAATAACACTGAAATAAAAGTACATCCCTAAGAGTTCCAGTCTAAACTATTTCCATATATAACTCCTAGAAGCTTTTACATAACAAGAAAAATAATTGTAACTACTGATAAAAATAATGGCTACTATATTTACTAATGCACAAACTATGCCCTAGATAATGTTTTGTTTTACCAGAGAAATTTAGTTTTTTTTCTATTAACATTTGTATGTAACACATAATTCTAAAATATTCACAAAGGATAACATGCATGTTTTTATTACGTAATTTACTCCTCTGGCACAACTAAATAAGTGTGTATAGTCTGAAACTAGTCTGCTTCCTCTTTCAGATGCATATGAAATATATCTGTGCAAACCGTATCACACTTGCACTGACAGCCCAAATGGATACCCTGTGCTACATACTGTATAGTATACTGAACACCAAAAGAAATGTATCACTGCAGAAAAAAACAAATAAAAGATATTAGGAGAATACAGGTTAGTACCAGGTGAACTGAAATATAATTTAATTAACATTCTCCAACAACAAGTGATCCACTGTGAAAGTCACAGGCTAGAGTCGTCACTAGTGTGGCTATGTGGGAAATTTGTCCCAAATCACAGATTCTGTCACGTAGGGCTCCGGTAAATTACTCTACTACAGCTTGGACAAGCACGTGCTTCTTCACAGGTCTCAGACTTATGTGACCCTACCGGATTCCACATGTAACTATTATAGTCTCACTGTTACACATGAAGCCGTGTGTTGTCCTGCTGGAACATTGTAATGGCAGGATAAGCCTGCAGGAAGAAGAGCAGGGAAGGTCCCAGGACTTCCGAAAGTCATGCAATCACATCGAGATCAATTTCGACAAGTGGAGTTCAATAGAAAGTAGACACTTCTTTCCAGAACATTACACTTAGACCACTCCATCAATTTATCTGTTATACACAATTAGAGTATTATTCACATTGTGAAAGTATTCGCCACAATTGCCATTTGACACAAAACCTGCATTCATTACAAAAGAGGACTTGGGTCTACTGCTGGCATGATGAAGTGAGGTGTTACCATAACATACCAATAGCGCAAAGATGTTTTCTTGAAAAGTGGGGTAAACTGGATTCTTCTTTTCTTGCCTCATTTTCACCACACTTTCCATTAAACAGTTCCAATAACATCATCATCTGCACCCATTTAGCTCTCGGTAATGATGTCATTCAGTGATTAGGTAAGAGTTAAGGTCTTTCAAATGCATCAATGTCTGTCATGAATTAACATTTAATTAAAATAATGCCCAGTATCTAGTATTTAATTTTACTGTATCTAAAATCTGCACCATTTTTTATCTAAAAAGGGCCCTGCCTTTTATTAACAGAGGATTTGTTGTGAAACTAGTCCATGAATGATGATACAGTAACACATCCTTTTATTAGACTCACGGTACACAGGCAAGTTATTCTTATTTTTATCTTATAGCAGGCAACAGCCTGTGCTTTTTTTCCCCTTGTTAATCCATCTTTCGATAAAACTCACATTTTAAACACTAGTCATAGCTTATATCCCTTCCATGAGTTTTGTAGAAAACAAGGTAGCAGCTTTATGATCAGCTGATGCAGAATACCAATCATGTTCACATTGCAGTGCCTAAAGCTTTTGTTTTTTAAAAGAATGTCTCTCCACACAATAGCTTTCATCGTCACGGGCAACCACAAGAATTCAAAGCAAATGTGGATTATAATTGGTAAAACAGGGTTCCCAAAAAACTGACTATATAATCAGCAGATGAGTACATTGCAAAGTCCTGTACTATTTGCTTCTGAAATCATACATGGTTAAACAAAGCAACACGTTTCTTTTGATGATTAATATATTTGTCATGGTTTCTAGTTTTCCATGAGTAAAGATGATGAAATTGCTATGAGCACAGTATTAAATACTACTTGGAATACACTGTAACAAGCATGGCTTTCATTGTGCAGTTAATATGTGAAACATTGAAATTATGATCTTGAACGCTAATCAAACTTGCATTTTATATTATACTTAATTGTACCATGTAGAAAGTGGGTATGTGGTTAAACTCATTTTTCTCAAAAGTGAGAAAACCAGGGAAAACAACATACTGTACAGCCTTGTAGAATCAGAATTTATAATGATTAATGGCAGGCATCCAAAGTGGCACAAACACTGTGAAGCTGACTTGTCCAGTTTATCAAACTAATCTCAATGCAAGGAAGACTGAGAAATGTATTTGATATGGTATAAACAGAAGTAGCATACAAAACTGAAAACTAATACAAAAATCAGTTAAGGAACAACTAGCAAGCAAGTAATTATCTCACCTTTCAGAAACACTGATGTCAAGTCATTATTTCAATTACATTTAATTCAAATGAGCTATGTATTTATAATATGAAAGGGATATGCAATTGAAATAAAATGACGCCATATTTGTCATTCACATATGAATTCTTAAATATATATTATTTGTTTGAAGATCATGGAATCCAGTAAATAAGAACCTGTACATCAGATGGTGTTGTCTTTTAACAACAGTAAAAACATGCTAGAAGCCATTGTAAGGTGACATTAGCGACAAAGACAAAGAGGAAACAAGGGTCCTACAAAAGATCTGTCTGAATTTAACAGATCGAATGTCCACTGGTCTTGCTTGCAGCTCTTTTGTTTAGAGGTGGCTGATCACACCTTCAAAATCTTATTCACAGACTTGACAGCAGACTCATAAATTGCTCTGAAAAAAAAAAAGTTTTTATTATGGACTGTTTTCATGAACAAACAATTTTATGTTTTTTGAGAGTACCTCTATTTGTGCTGTTCCACTTCTTGTTCATGTAGTCATTTAAAAAACAGTCTCATGCAGTTTAAACACTGTTCAACACCCACCAATAACAATAGTCTTACCCTCACATTTTATATGAAACATATCAACATTAAACATCTAATTTGAAAATGCCTTTTATTACAACTAAATAAACATTTATAAATATTCTTGTTTACTCTTGTTTGCAGTGGACACCACACATATTCCCCTCTTCAATAGGGGGATTGATATTTATCAATAACAATGAATCCCATATCTACTGATTACCTTTGAATGCTACCATGGTCCTCAGCCATGACTTCTTGATACCGCTGCAACTGTCTATGAATGGAAACAACTGTTGCCTTGATATCCGATCCTTTAAAAGGACCTGTTTGATAAAACAAAGTTGACGATATATGTCAAATTCTCAGCAGAGGCTTTTTACCTCATTCCTTGGATCTGCCACTGGATAAAATCATGTGGTATAAACTACCATGATACATAAAAAAGTTAGAGCACTGCAGCAAAAGAAAGAAAAGCTGTGGTCTCTGGAATTCCATTAACAGGGAACTGCAGGCCCAATTTCTCAGACCAGTTATTAAATCGTGGCAACAAAATACATTTCTTGATGTTAAAACAATTACAAGTTTTGAATTAAGCACAAAATTGTGAAAATTGTGAAACGACGATGCAACTTGCATTTAAGTTCCCAGGAATTGCCGTGTGATGCAGCCCTTCCTGCTCACTAGTCACTGTAATGACTAATGTAATGTGATGTACGAGAGTAGAAACAGTTGTGCAGCAGACTTTTCACTGCAGAAATGTTCCAATGCGATCCACATGCAGAGTTAAGTAGTATTTGCCAGCAAAACCGTCTTGAAAACAAAAGCCTTACCTGGACATTTTGTCTATTTTGTGACCTAAATTGGAGGTTTTACAAGTTATTACTGTTACTGCAGTTTGAATGCACTCATCAATGCGGATTTTTTCTAACCCTGAATTATGAAAATAGTGTTGCTGTTTCCCTTTAAAACAATGAATCCTGTACAAATTCTGCCTATAATATTAATCTCCTTTCTGATCATATTATAAAAATGTTGAGAAGGATATTTAAGAAATAGCTTCTTCTTGCCTGAAAATTTGAACACTTGCTGAATCAGAATATTTCACATGCAGAAAATTATTTTACCTTAATTTACAACTTATTGCAACATAATTAACAAATCAACCATAGAACCCAGGTAAATTGAAGCCAGAACAAACCTTTATAATTCATAAACAGGAAAATACAAAGTAACATACTGTACTTACCGATTAATGCCAAAACGTACAAGACTGAAGTCAATCCTGTTAATCCATCTATTGCTTCAGATTCAATGGACTCATTTGTCTCAGTCAGAAATGACCTTAAAATATAAAGCAAAAGTAAATACTAAATTAAAATATCATTTTTTTCCCCATTTGTTTTATGTATAAACAAATATTGTTTTTTTTTTTTACCTGGTTAAACTCGAAGATTTAAAAATTACGGTCAGTAAGGTTCTTGAAAGTGGAGGCAGATGCTGAACTGTCTCTGGAGCTGCTACCTCCTCTGCCCCTGAAACCTGAATATAAAATGAATACATAGCTTTTAGCTCACTTAAGCACAGAATCAGAACCAGATTAAAAGTCTGAAAGGTTACACAGAGGGGCACCGGAGTGATTTGACCAGTGAAGATGCTCACTTTCTCAGGCGTTGTCTGAGCGAGTGTCATTAGGGCTGCACTATATCCAGTGTGCTCACATTGCTATCAATAAGAGCTATACTAGGCTTCCATTCCATGCGAACAACTCCAGACACAACAAGATTCACAGTGGAGAAATCCGGCAGAAATATTGCCAGAAAATGGCAAAATAGTATCTGTCAAAAGATTTGTGCACGGTCTGCATCTTTCCCATGCTGGTGGTAAGGGATGCATTATAAAAAATAACCCTGATAGGACATGATTGCTGGAGATTTCTGATCAGTGCTTTTAGGAGTTAGTGTGTAAGTAAGAAAACATTGGATGTGCAAGACTGACAATACAAGCTCCCTAGAATCTAAAATCTGTGGACAATTATGTCATCATTCGACCCGTAACTCATGCTAATCATTCGAAGAAAATGTTATTTATATTCTTCAGAAAAACAACTACCATATTGTATTCACATTGATACTCCTTTGAGATTTAAAATTCATTAAATAAAATGTCCTAAAAATGTCATGGAATATTAATTAAAATATCTCATCTTTTTTTAATAATCATCATTGCTTAAGACAGGTTTGTCTTTGCAACCAAAAACAAAGAATGTGATTCAAACTGATGGAGGAGGAAGGAGCAGGGAATCATAGGAGGGATTAGGGAATTTCGGAGCTGAGAGCTTTGGAAGAGAGAGAATACGGACACCCTACAGTAAACTGAGGAAACTTTTACTGCTTTCAAAATCATACGTTCCAAGAGCCAGCCAGTCAGCTGTAGACATTAATACTATAAAGTCTTGCTCACAGCTCACACGGGCATTTTATTCCACACTAGAACCTGCTTTGTCAGTTCTATGGTGTATACAGTAGTCTAAATCTGTGCTAATCCATGACAGGACTCTGGCTCTGGAGGGCTGCAGGCCGTATAGGTAACGTACAATGATTCAGTGAGTAATGACACAGAAACAGAAACAATGACACAGAAAATCGATTAAGTGAACAACTGTTTAAATCAAGTCATTAAGGAAATAGGATGGGAAGGAAACCACAGGGCACGATGGCCCTTCAGGACCAGGAATTAAAGTCACTGGCTTAAATCAAGACTTTTGTCAGGTAAATCACTTGGGAGCAACAGAACCACTGTCTACTCCTCATCAATTCAAGCATTTAAACAGGTCAAAGAAACTAAATTCACACCAATACCAAAAGGTACTTTGGTTTAGTGTACCTCAATGCAACTATTTTATTCCTGGTGTGGAATGCATTTCAGTTTGCTCTCCAAGCCGGCTGTGGGGATTTCTTGTTCTGGGCTCACGTGTGCCGTTGGCTGATGTACAACAGCCCAGCAGACACGAGGCTTTTTGCTTTTGATGGCTTGATTTCTTTGTACAAAGATAAAGGTGCAACACCAGCCCTGTACTTGGCTGAATTCACAATGTGATTACTAATGAATACTGATTTATTCCCTGTGCATTTGCACTTTTTGCCAAGTGCAAGCGATGCTTTTTAAGCAAATGTGTTCAATTTTTGTAGCTGGAAAAAATTAAGAACTATGCACATACATATTTTATAATAAAATTACATTAAATCAAATGATAATAAAGGTCCTACTGTAATTTTATTATTGTATTATAATATAATATATTAAAAAGTATACAATAGTTGTATCTGTACTGGGGCATAGAGCTCTAACATGAACTCCATACTGCTTGCAGCACTGTACTGAATAAACACAATTTAATGAATAAGTCAAAACGCTGCACTGAAATAAAATCTCACCTTGTGCAGGAAATGCTTCAATTCCACAACCACTGCAGCGATGATGGTTGAGAAGACTGCGGCTTTAACAGCTGTATTTGCTGTGTGCCATTCTTGAATAACAGAAAGAAAATCTCCCAGGGCCATGCTGACTGAATGGCACACCTAAAAATAAGAATTACAAGATTAAGATAATACTACCATATATATCACACAAGTCCTCATTATGTAATGAAGTAAAGGAGAATGGAAATTTTACAGAAAGCTCTGCAATACCCAGGAGATGATTCTGATTTCAATTTGAGAATAATAATGATTCGAATAAAAGGATGTCTTTACCAATACAATTGGGCCACTGCGTTCATCAGGGTGAAATGATGAAGACAAAACATATATTGCTACAGGTCACTGAATGATGTTTTATCACATCCTGTGTTTCCCATTCCCATTGAGTGTTATCTTCGAGTGTGGCATTCAAACAAACCCTTGCTTTACAATGGTGACTGTGGCAATTTGCTTATTAGTACAGCAGTACTCATGCATGCTTTAGGACAATGCTCATGGTAAATATGATACATCAGCACCACCTTATTTTGACACAAGAATTCTCCATTTCTACAGGAAAAATGCAAGAAACATATTGGTACAGTAGATTATGCATGCATTTCCCACCTCCAGCCCCTCTTCGCGATTTTTCCGTAGTCTGCGTGCAACAGCTTCCAAACTCTTCTGGAACACATCGGAGACGAAGCTGAGAAGAAGGGACAGGTCCTGACTTTGACTTTGAGCACTCTGAACCAGGCAGACCTCCGCGACCTCTTTCAGAATGGAAATCAGCGATGGCAGGAACACGTGTCCCCTATCTGAAAAGCCAAACATACAGATGATGTGAAATAGGAAAAAACTCCAAAGATTTCTGAAAGTGTAAACGTATTACATTTACTTTGAGGGTGAAACAGATGAAAGCGAAAACTCTGTGGAACATTTAAATTTGGATAGACACCTCAAGAATGGAAAGGTATCACATGCAATTCCAAATCTTGTTTTCCCCAGAGATTTAGACTAACTTGGTGTTGTTTCTGTGTTGTGTCGTTCTTGCATCCCCCTGCTTACTTCTACAGTTCTGCCCCCAAAACCAGCAGAGATATCTGACCAGAGGTCAGAAACCTTCCACCAGCATGCAGTGATGTGTGCCAAAGACATCTTATCAGATAGCTTGGACAGAACCTCACAATATAGCAGACCACAAATTCAATTTTGAGAATAACAACATTACTATTTTTAAAAAATATATGGAGCACAAAAAAATTCCATATTGTCAACTTGTTCTGATACCACTGACTTTTAGGCCAATGATGGGTAGCACTATACACCCATATCTTAAGGAAAAATAAGAATTTTTCATTCTTTCCCTTCCAATTACCCATCTTCAACACAAGTTCTGTCACAAAGAAATCTTAATTAATCTAAAGTTGATCTTAATTAACAAGATTCTTAATCACAGAGAGGTTAATGAAATTAGAAAGAATAGTATTGTGACTCGTGACGCAATATAGTCTTATACATGTTTCCATGCTTCAGTGCTGATCGACATCTCTTGCACAAATCACATACACTGTGTGTAGAGTGTCACTTTCCGATGACAATGGTAACTAAACCCAAACTTTCTGACCTGCATGCAAACATAGCCGATGCCCTAGTTCCACATAAGCAGCTTCTTTCTGGTCCATCACTCACCGGACTGAAGCACAGCTGTGCAGAAACGAAGAATCTGTCCCTTAAATTCTGTATCCGCAAGGCCCACCATTGCGACATCCTTGCAAACGTTCAGGAAGTCCTGTTTTCATGAAAAGACATAATATGGTATTTATTGGACAAACACCCACCTAATATGCTGTATGCAATCCTGTAAACATTTTCCCCATTTGTGTTTTTTTTAGAATCCAATTTTTTAAGTTATATACCCAGGTGATTTGAAATGGCCAATTGTGTGTGTATCATGTCTTAGCAGACTTTTACACACCCTGTAAACACACACTGGGGGAGAATGAGTACTGTAACTGTGGGCAGACTTGTCCAAACAACCCCTCCGCTCATCTTTCAGAGATACATAACTCATGGAGAACACAATCAATTGTTTGTCGGCTTTTACCGTACATATATAACACATACACTACCAGAGACAAACATCAAATGTGATTTGCCTGCTTCAGTGTTATAGAGCATTTCTCAAGAGTATGCATCATGTTAAAATCTAAAAAGAAACTTACTTCCACGGCTTGTTTTGCTACATCATACTGCTCCACGGAGACTCTTTCTTCCTCAGGACTGACGAGGAAAGGAAGGATCTTCTCAGTAATCCATGCTATACCGCTTTCGAGGACCAAGAGGTAGCTCCTGTCATCTGAAAACTGAAACATTTTAAAACCGGTTTTAAAACGCTTTCTAAAAACGGGCATCCTCCTGCTGTTAGTAGTGTTCCAAGTCAGCAGGGAAATCCTACATGTTGTAAGTCTGAGCTAATGTTTTGATAACTTTAAAATAAGAGCTTTCTACACTCAAGTCTAGATTACAAAAGGCCCACATACCTTTTCCTGGAGATGGATACTCAGACGGCAGTGAAGGTTGAAGGCTCTGAGTGCAGTTTTCTTGTCAATCTGAGTGGGCCCCACCTCAGTAGAATTGATACATGTGTAGAACACAACCTGAGAATAGCATAGAATATCAGTATTTCATTAAGAACACACAAAACACTCTCTCTAGTTAGGTTAATTGTGTTAATAACTGTCTTATTTATTCCCTCAGAGCCTCGGTTTCCATCTGGGGAGCATTTCTCACTCCTCCTCTCCTGGGAAGACAGACTTTTCAAGATCTTTTCTATTTGTAAAAATGTTAGTAGTGTATTGGGACAGTGAAGTGAAATTTGCTGTTCACTACTGAAAGCTGTAGTTGTGTAGTAATTAGTATTTAAAATAAAAAGTATAGAATGTATATGTTGTCTATAGAATAGAAGTATAGAATGTCATATGGTGTTTCTGGGTATTATTTTGCATACATCTGCAGCCATGTTACAACAGGACTCTTAATCTTTATTTCAGAAAGACAAATTTCCTTAGTTTTGTTTGTAACCTATTTAAATGTAGTTCCTGAAACACATACCTTTGTAAAACGTAAAAATCATTTAAAACTGTGACCTGAAAAATAACACCAAATAATGCATTCCTTTAGGAGCATGATAAATTACACGATTACTAGTACCTTCAGTGCCCCCATCGCCTTCAGAAGCTGGTTTAATTTCTTTTTCTGAACGTCCAGCAGGAAGGACCGGTTCATTCTGTGAGTGATGAGGTATTCAATGTAGTCCAGGCCTAAGTCAGGTTTGACCACAACTGTCACATTAATGCGCACTCTACCCTGGGTGTCTTTTTTGCTCTGTTGAAGACAAAGCAGATAACTGTTTTCAATAAAAATAAACATTTGATGTACCGATCACCCTCCCTATACCACCCCCACAAGCTCTGCTTGCTATCTTACCAATTTCAACACCTGTCCGTAATTGGGGGGGAATGGAATCTGCATTTCTGAGAAGCTGTAAAGTGTAACTTTTAACCGAACCTTTTTCTGTGGCATGGCCTCAGTCAGCCAGTCCATCACGACCTCCAGGATGTGTCCCACCTGTCCCCAGCGACAGAGGCAGTCGATGAGCGTGGAGTACTGGGATTCGGCAACTCCATATTCTAAGTTTCTCAGCTTGGAGAGGACACCGCAGCTGTGAAAAAAGCATATAGTGTGGGTTCAACTGACTGGTACAAAAAAGGAAAGAGAAGGACAGGAAATTAAAAAAAAACAGACCTGAAAGAAGGGATAGCCGTGGCTGGCATGAAAGATGCCATGAGGATCAATGGAACCAAGCAACGTTGATCCTGAAGAGAGAGAAGTTCAGTGACATTAAAAACCCATTACCCAGATTGTAAATATTCATTCCAATGATGTTTTTCGCATAGCAAACAAAAGATGCTTACAATACAATGATATTAGGTAATGTTAAGAATTGACCATACCTGAAATACACGGAAATATGCAGGCAACACCGATGCAAACTTGCTGGTGGTGTACTGAAGGGCTTCTTTATTCATTTCAAGAGACTTGCGAATACTTCTCCACAGGATCAGCACAACCTCTAGTAAGCTGGCCATTGTTGAAGTGTCATTGACAGAGAGGACGTCCTCCAAAATCTGAGAAAAAGCAAAGAAAATAAGACATGTGCGACACTCCATCATGGTATTATACAGTAATGTTAATCAGCTAATCTGTTTAGCAAGATCAGTCTCAAGTGTCAGGAGCCTGTGCAAATATATACTATTAAACCACAAATCAATTGCTTTTGCAGTACTTTTCTTGCCACTATTTTCAATAATAAGGATATATGTAAATATTTTAAATGTGGGATTTGGACTTCATGTTCTTCCACAGAATATCCTGAATCAAGCACCAGTCCTTAAGATTTTTAAGCACTTTTCACAGAAGCAGCATTTCCCTACAGCTACAGTACAATATTTAATTAATGTAATAATTAGTAAATTTTATTAATCGTTTTTAGCATATCACTACATCTGGACCTAATTCTTAGTACTTACTAAGACTAGACTTGCCTTCTGTATCACTTCTCCAAATCACATTAACTTTATAGGTATTATCCTTTGGAAAAAGAAAACCAGTTTAAATCTCACCCTCACAGGTGGGGGATGACTTCTAATACACAACTATGGAACATTACTCAAGATAACTAAAGGTTTTGATAGAAGTGAGTCCTTTTTTATCTCTTTAGTTCTTCAGAAGCCATCTGCAGGAGCAAATATAACACATCAATGGGAGTTAACTATCTATTCTGGGACCTGGAAAGCAGAAACTGCTTTAGTGCTACTCTGAGTGCATGTGAAATGCAAAGGCTGAAGTCATTATCTTCACTCACACTGGAGTTCTCTTTGTTGCTGCTTTCTGCCTCGTCTTCGTCGGCTGTTCTCTGAATACAGGCATTCAAACACCGCCGGATTGTCAGCATCAGTTTGGCTGGAATCACAAGATTTTAACACAAAAAAGAACATTTAATTCCATTTGCGTTCATATCACACTTGGCTGTCGCCAAAATCAGTTACAGCAGAGACAATGCAGGATGCTGGTTCACTATGAAATGTGATATCTGCTTTTCTGTTCATGGCCTCCCCAGTAATGCCCTTCTCAGGGATCCCTGGCACATCAGCATTCTCTCTGGAGTCAACTAGAAGGGGCACTTCAGAGGGTTATCAAGGGTCGTAAGAAATTATGTTACTTCAGTAACACGAAAAAAGATAATACTGCAAAAAAATATAAACTCAGCAACAATTTCCAACATGTGTCTACAAAATTTCTTAACAGGCTGCCTGCAGTTTAATCCTCAAACTCACAATAAGTTAAGAACAGTTTACAAGTCTCTACGGGAACAGGACACTAAACAGTTAATAAAAAAACACCCCTTTGCTTTCATTGTATATTGTATTAATCATCAGACTACTAGGAGTCCCATACTTATAAACTAATAGTTCCTTTGGTGGACACCTGAATCTGCTGCTAAAAGGTCTTAACATTGCACAGAATTCCGTCAAGGAATTTCTGAGACTAACGATTTTGTCTGCACGTGATTTCGAAAAAAGCTTGCTCCTGTGCAGCATTTGTATATTTGCTGCATGCAGGTTTTATCCTTGAAGCTGGTCTCACGCCTCCAAGAAATCTAAAAAGAAGGGTTTTTTGTGTATCAAAAACACCAACTGTTAGAATAGATTAGGAGGCATGACAGCAGGCACTGTAATCGGGGTCACGCCGCAAGCAAAGTTTTTTCAGTTTAAAAGTCTCAAGAACAATAAATAATCCTTAATGCAATCAGACAACTGTAAAGTTGGTGTTACAGTATTTCCTTGATGTACTGTGCAAATTCGAACCTGTAGGGTACTCTAATTCACTTATTATCATTTATGTGCACTATCTATTAATATAAAAAACTACATTCTGTACATACAAAAGAAAACAATCAAACTAAAACTGGTATGGATACATTCATATAAAGAAAATCTGCTGTAATATGCCAGACTCCAGGAGCTTCTAATGTATTACATCTGGTTAATATTAACATCCATTAATAATTTATGAGAAGGCTTTAAGGCTTGCACAACTAGTGTTAATGGGCACTTAAATCTCCATTACATATCAGGCTAAGTATCCCAGGGTGTGTTTAAGTGTGTAATAAGGAGAAATGCAGAAGTTGCCATTTTAATGCAACAGTTCTTTCTATTAACTATGAAGGAAATGAAAAACCCTGTACTGTAAAGAAGATTGCAAACTGTTATGATTCACAGATCCTTACTCTCAGCAAAATGACAAACACTAGACCAAATGATGTATTTAAGGTAAGAGACTAGAGCAAACCTGCCTTTGAAATTTACACTTACTGACAGTAATAATTATAATTCTGTTTCAATTTGAATACATGTATTAAACTGGGGGCCTTATCGAGAGATTTCTTCAGTCGGGTTTTCATCCATAAAAGATTGAGAACATCTGCTTCACAGTGTGTGAAATTTTGTCTAACAGTTTTATACACATTAAAAGACAACAATGTATTACATCCTTCTGAAAACACTACCATGAATTACCCTAAAACCCATAAAAATCACTTCTAAACTTAATAGTGACATACAGTACTGTAAATGCATTCCATAAGCTCACCTATATTGGTAGGAGCAGTATATTCATGGGTGTACTGGTAAAACTTTCTGGCTGCCATGGGATTCATCTGAATTATGGTAACACATCGCTCACACCAGACTTCTTCCGACATGTTGACGGGGAAGAAGGAGCTGAAGAGAAGGTTTACAATCCTTCGAGAAACAGGAGCTGAATCAACCTCAAGTCTAGCCAGGAGATGCTCCATGGAGCATACCTTCCAGAACTAGAAAAAAAACAGAACCCACTTTTTTAAGCATTATCATAAAGCTTGACAAAAGAAACTTGAAAAGACATCTTGCTACTGTACACGTTAAATGGTTCGAAAGGTATCTTCTGCTAACAATCAAGTAAATACCCTAAAGCAGAAGGCTACAGCAACATGCTTGAGAGAAGGGTCCATTTTGGTTATTAGTTTATCCTATTAACATAGGACCATTTTGACAAAGCTCAATCCCTTGCCACAAAAGCTGGACACCTTTACCTCCTGGAGGGCTATCATTTCCAGAAGGACATTCTTCCTATGTTCATTCTAAATAATGTTTCTAAAGATTCAAACTGATAGTTATCTCCTTACTACAAAACCACCATGTGAAACTCTAGGAACAAACTTCAATTTTGGTCCGGTTAATTAAAAAAAAAAAAAAACCTGTTCAATTGTGATTCTGCCTAACTGCCTACCAGGCACTTTACATTAAGATGGAACAGATGAATTTGAAGCAGAAAATGAACATCCCACCACTGCAAAACAGAGCAAAAGTTTCAAGTTCAGGTTTTGCTTACAAATATTCACTTTATATTATTATTTGCCAATAAGGAACGCCATGCATCTTACCTTGGCAGCTTTGACAGCTTTAATCTTCAGCAGCAGTTCTATGAAGGCCACTCGTACCTTCTCCGAGGTGTCATGGAGGCTGTTTTTCAGGACAGGAAACAGCTGCTCCAGCAATGGGTGGCTCAGCTTGTTGTCCAGAATCATGGTCATACACTAAGGATTAATCAAAGGGAAAAGGAGACTCAAACAAAGACAAAAGAACTGGTGAATGCGATCAGGATTGGAAGAGGGTTAATTTAAATACACAAAGGCTCTGTACTGTGCAATGACTGGCTTACATGGACGATGAACAACCCTATCTGTAGTCACTTTGTGTACAAAGGCACAGAGCGAAGGTCCAATCCCACCTTGAAGACTGAGCAGCGGACATCAGCAGAGCTCACATCAGCAGCCAGATCCGTGACCAGCTTCTTTAGAAAGTCTGTGAGGATGCTGGGAGGGATCATTTCCCAATACTTTGACGTTATTCTGCAAACACCCAGAACTCCAGCCGAGCGGACCAGTGGCTGAGGGTCCTCTAGGAGAGACTGTTAAAAACCATACATTTTATTTCCTGTATCATGGAAAAACATAACAAACTAACAAAATTTAAAGTGGAGTCAAATAATTAAATGTGCATATATACTATACTGTATATGCGTCCTCACAGGGGTTTCGGAACTCCTATTGCAGAAAGGCATCCAAAACCAAAAATATCCTTTAACTTGGAACAGTCCTTCGCCCTTCTCTCAACAGACTCTCCTTCTAAATCCTGTGTTTAGAGATTTCACCTTTTCACACCTCTCCCGCTTCCCCTGAGTTTGGAAACTAATTTTTGCCCTTTTACTCACTGTTCTCTTCCCTTCGTACCAACTCTAGCCTTTGTTCTCTAACGCCTTATTGATTTACCGTTCTCTCTCTCTCCCTCACGCCTGAAGAAGGCTCCACAGCCAAAACGTTGCGTTTCTTTACTGTTCAGCATGGAATAAACCTTTACTTGTTCCTTTGCAGCCTACTCATGCTGTCCCAGCTACCTACTTGTACGCATATAGTATATTATAGTATATTGCAGATCTTATCTTACATACTGTACGAAAACATTTATCAAGCATTTAAATTAATCTACAGAACATTTTCTTCAAATGATGAGTTACCTAGGAACACACTGCAAAACAATGAAGTCAGACCACAGTATGTGACACATGGCCAGACTTTTAGAATTCAAGTGCTGTTGCTTATGCTCACCAGTCCTTTGTACTTCTAAATGCAGTTACCACTACTGTCTGTAATAAACACCTAATGAAAAATTACAAATACTGAAGTGTGGTCCTATAATTACGAGTGCTTTAATTTAACGGTACACAGAGTTTACAGTGCTCTGTGGGATTACCCTTTTAGATTTGATCCCTATTGAAATTTATTGTAGATAAGAAAAAAAAGACTGGTAAGATTCCCTTTGTTCATGTGTTATACAAGAAAAAGGTAACAACTTACAAACAATACTTCAAACTGCTTCTGGATTTCACTGTCCATGTCCTCATTGCTTAAACTGGGATCCTGAATGGGGAATGCTTCTGTGAACAGTAATGCAGCATTGGCACGGACTTCTGAACTGCTTGCCTGCATGTTTCAAGAGTGTTTTTTTTTTTTAAAAAAGATAACAGAATAAAGAAAAATAAGGTTGACATAAGCCTCTTAAATAACATTAACATGGTTCTACTTCAAACATTTGACAAACCTGGATTAAGACTGGATGTTAAGTCAAGTTTTCAGTATTAATCTTGTGAGTAGGATTTGAATAGATTATTTTAATTCAATTTAGAAACTTGTTATGAAGCCAAATGTCTTTAATGGAAATTGGAAAATGGAACGCCATCTGTCTCTGGAGATTGCTCATTTCTTTTTTTCTCAAGTAAATATAGTATTTTCTTCCATGTATAGGACAGGTAGTTTAAATGAGTCGAATAAAAAGGACATGTACAGTACAAGAAAAGGCTGTGAATACAATTCTGCGATATTCAACAAAAGTTGTTGTATCTCTTTTAATTTATAATGCATGTGATTACTGAATTGTATAGACCCTGAATTTGGATTTTTGTTTATGTAATGTTGTGGATTTTTATCGAAGAAGAGCCAGGAGAGGTATTCTCATTAACTCAGTAAAGTCTTCATTCATATTGCAATATGGGAAAAAGCCATCACCCGTCTGTGCAGAGAAGTGAAAGCTGACTCAAAAGCAAGCAGGGAGAGCCCTTGTTTTATATCTTTTTTAAGATGATGCAACACTTCAAGGACAGGCAAAGCAGTAATTTTCCATTCCTTATAGGTTTCTTCTTTAAGCAAAGAAGAGCAGTTATTCAAATAGTTTCTCATTCTCCCTTCTTCAAGCAGCAGAGATAAACATTATTAAAACATCCCGTGCCCTTGATGAGTTGGGTGCTATCACACTTTGTTCTAAGTATCCAGCTGCTTCTGCAGCACAGCTCTGTCCGTAAACAACATTTTTAGGATAAAACACCTTTTCTCAGTAACTTTCCATTACAGTAATCATCATGCTCATATCATTAAATTAGATCCTGATTGTGTAGTTTTGTTTTAGAAACTTCAATTTCCTTTCTTCTTTGACAGTCTGAAAATTATTTTTTCCATACTCCTCAATAATCTCACATATACTTGATGGGTAAGTGTTTTATTTATGATTTTGCATTGTCTATGCATTTTAATTCTGTTTGCAATTACTTATGTTTAGTGTGCAGCACATCTGGCATTGAGACACACTGAGAAGCCTATAGTAATAACACTTTAGATCCAAAATGATAGAACAAGCCATTCTCACTAAAATCATCTATTGACACAGCAAGTTCAGTACAGTGCTAAAATACAAAAGTGGATAAAATTAGTTGTTACACTACAAAATGATTCAGAAATCAGCTTTCAGGAGATGAGTTTTAAAAAAAACTACAAGGCTGCAGTTTCTGATAGAAACTGCCAAAAACCTGATTTGTCCATTTTGAATACATTTACTCCAAATGTATTCACATTACTTCAATATGCAACCATTGAAGTTTAAATGTTAAATGTGTTGCTTTTCTCCTTCATCAGTACAAGCTAAAGTCCCTGCAACTCATAAAGTCTGAAATAGCTCAGACATCTGTGCATTGTGAGTCTCATTAGCTTCCTCGTACAATTAGAAGAGGAAAAACTGGTTGACATCTTCCGAGCATTAATAAACATTAATAATTAATAAAACTGCCATATGATATTCTTTAAAAAACATTATTTAAAGATGGAAGAAACAACAATTATTTTTAAAAATGTAAAGGAATAACTATATAAATGAACTGTTATAATTCATAAACAGACATCTGCAGTGCAAGTTAAAGGCTAAATTTAGACTCTGAAGAGACAATAACAGTGTTTATAATGATTTGTTGTCATTTTTACTTACATATTGTGATGAAAATGGTACTTATTTCAAGTAGAATGTCTTGATAGATGGATTATAAAAGTGTATCTTTCACTATGCCTAGCTGAAGATTTTAAGGATTTAGAATTTTTCCCAACACTGCCATACTTTCTCATAACTTTATATTTGACAGAAGAAAATTATATTTTTCTATCAGCAAGGAGACATCAAGGAACAAATCCTTATTCAACAATGAAATCCTATTTTGTATTCTTGAAGAGGGAGCAATTGAAAATGTGCAGTTCACATTAAAGTATATGCAGAAGTGGAGTTAATTAATCATGTTAATCAATCTCAAACTTTCTGCTTTTCACCCATGAGAATTTGAGGTTTGTCTTTCAATTGAGTTCTCACAGATTATATTCATACCACTTGCATTTGCAATTATTTAAAAAGCTCCAGCAAAGCTATACCTTCAGTTAATAATCTACTATATTTCATGTACGATTTAAAAAAAAAAATCTTAAAGTACTCTGAACAAGAGCTGCTTTTAATGGAGTGTGCTTAAAACAGGACTTAACATTATGGAAGTGATGTCCTTTGTATGAACACCCCAGATTTTTCTGTAAATGCACCAAGAATTTTAACGTTTTTCATGTTTTGTGTTGTAATATGAACATTTACCTTTAGCCCTCGCCAAAGAATGGGCTTGTATAGTCTGTACAGCATTTCATCAACTCCTTGGCGCAACTTCTGGTTGTGGAAGTAACTGAGTATCTAGAGAGAATATGCAGGTTAAACACTGGCAGATCTTAAACAACTATAACAAACAATTGTTTCCAAAGCTCTTTACATCAGGAATGTAAACAGTATTTTTTTTTTGCTATCTCATTTTAGCTCTCCCCTGTTGTGTGCATTCTATTGCTTTTACTCAATGTGAATGTTTGTGCTGAGCTCTGCTCTGAACTCCACTGTTTTCGGACATTTTCAACACACAGCGCTAAAGTACAACTTACCCATCAAAAAGAATAAACCCAGCTCACAGGAGAAATCTAAATTACAGTAGAGCGGTAGACGCATGCACATTAATGAAGCCATAACCCATCCAAAATGAACAGAGGGCTTCCAAGGGGCTCTGCCAGCTCAGGCACTTGATCTAAACGCAGGCTGAGGCAGATATACGTGCACAGATGATTGTCTCACGCCTGTATTATGTCATTAGCCATTCTTCACTAGGACTCCCCAGCTGGCACACATCTGGCCAAATACCCGTGGGGTTGCACGGACTTAAGTCAGCAAGGACACCCTCAGTGCGGAGTACAAGAGCAATCAGCGACTTGTTGGCTGCCTGTGAGTTTACAGTGCTGCCAGCAAAAGCTGCATCAAACTTGGCAAACTCACTTCGTAAAAAAGGCACAGTGAAGTTCTTAATGTGTGAAGGGGTGAATGGCTTGCAAGCCTGTGCCAGAATAAAGCTGTGTGTTGTTCTTTAACACAGCTTTCCTCTATGGTACAAAGGGTGGTAATGGTGAAATCGGTCATATCAACAACTGCCGAATCCAACTTGGAGAGCACAAGAAGAGATATAAGTCTTCCAAAATGTACAGTAAGAACAGCTCTTGAATGATTCCTTAAGTTCGGGTTCCAAAAGATGATTTAGCTACAGGACTGGAGTCATACACTTTCAGCTCTTTGTGTAAAATAAGTATTTTCACAATGTCAGATTAGTTCCATTTAATTTCTGTTTACGCTCCTTTGTTCCTGCTGTCCAAGATGAAATAGACATCTGTGTGGGCCTTCTCACCTTTCAAAATTTGATACAGACGGTAAGAGCTGAAATAAGGCAACACACTCACTATATGGGGAAAAGGCAAATTTACCTGTCGCACTTTAGAATGAACTGGCGAACTCCTGTAAAGGTGAATGCCATGCTGCATGAAATCCTGGATGCAAACCTTTTCTATTTCCTAAAAAAAGGATAATTAAAAAAAGGTTAGAAACCACACTACAAAAAGACAAGCTTCCATTAACTAGAAGTAAAAACAGATAAGCAACAGCTGGTTCTGTGTTAAGGAACAACTTCCTCCAAATAGGCTGAGGCTTCCTGCTAGTGCTTAAGAGTTACACTACTTAAGTCTTCGTTTACTAATCTGTTTACAAATGCATTACACTTATGATTTGTTCTACATTTGTTGTTAAATCATTTCTAAATACGCCTTTATCCAGAAATAACCCATCTCAGGAAGTCAACAGAGCATGGACTTTGAGCATGTCTTTCCTGCTCTCCAACAGCTTACAGATCCTCAATATATGGATCCAAGCTCTTTCTACAACACGCATACTATTCCAAAGCGATGCCCGAAGAGACTCGTTTGCATATTTACTGTGCTTCTCAATGAAGAATAAGAGCAAAAGCAAAATAAGATACGCAAGCAAATGATGACATTTAGAATTTAAAATTATTTTAGAGTTAGTAGACCTTCAAGAATAATTGGAATCTTTGCAGTTTTGACAATTGTTTTTTTTTGTTGCAATATTTATAAATATTTTTCACGGCATCATGTGACAAATTATTACTGGAAGCTGCCTTTGATGGTGACTGATATTATGTGAAAAACAAATTAAATACCTCTAAGATGACCCCCGATGCCTTCTTCCATGCTCTAAAATATATTTCAGCCACATGTACAGTGATAGATCTTTAAAAAAGAAAAATGAAATCAGTTTAAATCGATATAGTAAACATCACAAGGGGACAGTAAGGCCTGTGACCAAAACACCTTTCTGTAGTCATTAAAATACCCATACCATACCTTGTACTGTTTATGTAGGCCATGCTCTGTCTAGACAGAGATATAAACACAATCCCAGCAGTGTCTATTCTAGTGTCACTGCAGAATAAAATGTACTGGATCTGTCAGGGCCAAAATACATTGTCCATTCTCCAAAATTTGCAACAGGTAAAATATGTACTGGAAGCATGCCTTCATTTCCCAATTTACCTCATTGACACAACTTGCCCGAAACAGTCACTGTTGTTTTCAGACACATGGGCCACACTCGCAACAGATTTGATATAGTACTGTAGACTATTCCTGGGCAGTGCAGCTTGGCCAGGAGCATCCTGCACTGATATGGACAGTCAAGTTGAACATTGTCATTTACAACTTCAGTGCAGAGGCAAAACTTGAAAACTGGAGACTGGCTGCAAGTACCCATATAAATTCCAAGGGCTTATAGGATGGTTAATAGTACCAAAATATACCTATGAAAATATCAGTATAATTACATTTTCTTAAATTGTACTTTGTGCTTTCATAATCAGGATCTGAGGACTAAGAGCAGCATTAAAGGGGAACTGCAATACCATATTTATATTTTGGGGTTAGAAAAAATCAGCATCGATGAGTGCATTTAAAAACCACAATGAAAGTAAAATGTACGCAATAACTTGTAAAACCTCCAATTTATATCAGAAAATAGACACATTTCCAGGTATGCTCAGCGCCATGTTCTGTGATCCAGAAAGAGGTAACAAAACTTCCGGCGATGCGTTGGGGCCGTATGACATAAGCAGGCTTGTGAATATGTATTTTTAATCCAATAGAAATACTGCTTTCGATTTCGAGACGGTATGCCGACAAATACTACTTACTTGTTAACTCTGCATGCAGATTACATTTCTGCGGTAAAATGTCTGCCACACAACCTGTACTAATTTGCTCCTAGGTCGCCATGAATCAGTCCTTAGGGTGACTAGTGAGCAGGAAGGGCCGTATTACGTCACAATTCATGGGAAAATGCGAGTTTGCAACAACATGCCGACTTACAGTGCTTTGACAAAGTTCACAATTATGTGCTTAATTCAAAATTTGCAAAATTATTCTATGTCAATTAATTTATTTTGTTACCGAGATTTAATATCCGGTCTGAGAAATTGGCACTGCAGTTCCCCTTTAACAACCCATATATATATAAAAAAGGGAATATCAAGCTTGAAAAAAGACTTTATGAAGGAGACTTAGGAGTTTATGTTGACATCACTTACATCTTTAAAGCAACGGGGGAAGAAATAAAAAAACAATGCTAGGATATATAAAGTACAGAATTAAAATTTAATCAAGGTATTTTATGGTAAAACTGTACAAAGCACTAGGAGATGCTGCACTCCAGTGGTGGAGGAAATTGTTTCTTTTCCATATGTATAGTGTATTGGGCTTTTTTTTAATGAAATTAGGTAAATAAATAATATTTTAATTACTGACATTGTACAATGACCACATTTAGAACATTTTGTAAAACATTTTCAGACAATGAAACACAACTAAATGAGACAAATGGAAAATCACTTTTTCTCATACCGTGGTAAAGTACTGTATAACTGTGTGTAATTATTATGCCAAAGATGAATTACTGTATACAGTATATAACGGTCTCAGCAATTGGAAAATTATTTATAGGCAGTGTAATTCTAATTACTGGTGATACACTTACTTAGGGAAGAACTGAAGTTGATTTTTGATTGTTCCATGAATCATCTTTACAAAATTCACATTCCAGCTAAAAACGTAAATCAGAAACCTTCTTCCCTGTTAACAAAGACAGAAAAGAAAAGAAAACAGTGGCTGTCAACGCTCAGCGAGAAATGTTGAGACTCAGAATTGGACTTAGAAAGAGAAAATGTCTTTGCATATCTACCTCTTCCCGTTTAATGTGGTTCACACTGAGAAAACACTGCAGCAGCAGGTCACTTAAACCTTTACTGTCTTCTGAGTCAAAGCTAAAGGTCAGAAGCACTTCGTGGAGATTCCATAAGCGCTGCAAATATGTGGCCTTCGAATGCAAAAGAATATAAAGCATCAGAACAAAATCCCCAGTAGCAAAGAAGTATTATATTAATCATTTATTACCTTCAAATAAACGCTCAGATCTCAGTTTCACAGGATGTTAGTAAAGTCTTGCATTAAACTTATGTTTTTATTGTCACAAAATATTAGACAATGTTTTCATCAATAATAAAATCACCTAAAAATTAATCTTTTTTACAGCTAGAAAAATTAATATTGACTTTCAAGAAAAAAACATGTTCTTATACTCTTGTGTGCGTATGTGTAGGCATGTATAGTTTACCATCTCCTATAATGAATAGTAACCTATGCGTTACAAAGGGAATTCAACTTCCTAATAGGCTGCAATATATTCAGAGTTGTGCTCGGCTAAACTCTAAAACAGGAAACCAATCCAAGAATGCAATTTACTACATTGCACACTATATCACTGAGGTAGGTACAGTATCTATACAAAATGAGTTTAGTTTGAGATTGAACTGAATGTTCAAAGATTAAATGAACACCTATTACTTAAAACTGTAACACTATTTGCAAAATAAGTGTATACAGCACATGAAAGAATAAAGTGTTTGTGTCAGCCTATGAAACCGAATAAAAACCCATTCTTGTGTACATTACCGGGTTCTTTAGTGAAAGACTTCTCTCCAAAAGCCCTAGAAAAGCGCTTCTTCCCAGCTCGTCCTTTCCTTCCAGTCCTTTCTCCCACCACTGCTCACAGAAGCGCTGAACTGAAGCTTGTACCACCATTTCCGAGGGCGGCACAGCACTCAGAATCGCTGACAAAAAGTCACAACAAAAAAAACTGAGCACTCCTTATTTATATTCCTACCCCCCTCTTCCATCACCTGAAAAATAGACTAAAGGTCGTGGTAAAATTCCCAATTAAAGTGAGAAATAAAATATACTACAGGGAATCAATGAAGACTCCCCTGGCATGGTTGATAAAACATGACATTGATGATACTAACGCCAACAACCAAGAGTTGGACATTTTGGACTATTACCTTAATTTGAGAAAATCTTTCACAGGCTAATCTAGGGATATGAAATATACTGTTTCCTGCTACATCAGGACAAAAGACTGTAGTTCCCTAAATTTAAAGATGTTAAGGGTTTATTCTAAACTACCTTTACAGTGAATAATCCAGACTCACTTACCATTTAACATATGGGCACACCCAAGCAGAGCATCATAAGCATCATCATCTTGCATTACAGTTATTGAGGCAGTAGCAACAGCTGTCACAGCCTCGATTATGGCCATGGTCTGTTTCTAAGTAAAGAAGGGGAAAAACTGAAGCAAGCAGACATTTCAAATTCTTTAAGAAAAGGATGGACAAAAAAGAAGCAGCAGTTTTTTTAATGGGGTGATCTGACAGGTGATGCTGGAAGTGTTACGGATCATTTATGATTTTGATGTTCTCACTTGACTACACCTTTTCTTGAGGGGCCTGCAATACAAACTGTTTTCTATGATACAAAAATGCCTCTTTCATTTTTGAACGAGGCGCCTTATTTTCACATCAGCACAAATCTTAGGCACACCTTCTGTCTATGTTAAAGCATTTATAATACCATGTAATCTTTCTGTACACTGGCAATATACAGTAACACCCACATATGTATAGACCTGTATACATGTATACACCATAGCTGTATACACCACGTCCTGTAAAAACCATGAAGATAATGAAATGCTGATTGGGTCAAAGAGGTGGACTATTGAGAACACCTCACGTTTTGTCATTTTGGTGTTCATTTCTCATCATGTGACACCCCTTTAAACACACCCTAGCTAAATTTTGTTTCCCCGGTTAAAAAAAAAACACAAAACAAAACTGTTAATTATGAAATAAGACAAGCTGTTTTGCACTTAACATCACGACCACCTTGCTTTATCAATTATTCCGGCAGAGCGGCACTAATTACTCATCCATGATCACGTCCAACTTGCATTTTAGTCATGACGTTCATTATGTATGTTTGGTTAGGCATTTATTTTTGACATTAGTTGATTAATGCATCTGACTATACACTTTCCAACAGAACAGAAATGTCTGTGCAAGCATCTATATATTCAGAGGGCAACACTGGGATCTAGTGAAGACAGAGAGAGTGGCAACTGCATTTTAAAGGGAGGGTATACTGTGAAATCAACCCCAATAAATGCAGGAGGGGGAAAGCAAAACCCTCATTATCTTCTTCTATACTTACTAAGGCCGCCGGAAGTTCCACTTCCATCTCATCCCCACTGTCATCGTCCAGTCCCTGGTTCCACTGCTCCACGGGGAAGTCCAACAGTGACTCGGTTAAGAGCGCTTGCAGCTTCCCCCACAGCAGCTCCTTCTGCTTTGTAGGGAGCTCCTGGATGAGCTCCGGCAGATCGAAGGGCTCCGAACTGTCCTTCTGTAAGAAGAAACGAGTAAAATACGGGTTTAAGGGTGCATCCCAATAAACTCATATACTGTAGTATCACAAAGGGAAACCAGGATACAAGAAGAAATATTAGACGGCTGTTTTCAATATACAGCCCCTAAGACCAAACCTTAAATCTCAAGAGATTTTAGAGAATTGCATTTGATAATTAAGCTACTCCTCTCCATATTGTTTTACAAAAACTGCCCAGGGTACAAGAAAGAAACCGGAAATGTTTGACCTGGAAGAGCCTGGCTTTTCAACAAAAAGAATAGAAAGTAACAGCGCAAAATGTAGAGTTATTATGGAGACCTTGAAAACATTTAACCCAGAGAAACAGGTGGCTAAGATCATGCAGTTAATTACACTTTCCAAGTGTAAATCAAGGGGAGTAAATCACATACCAAAAAAAGCTTATGAAGATCTTCTCCAGTTTTACAGTCCCTTTCAACTTTTGTATTCATGTAAAAGTCAAAGAAGTAATGGCAAAGAACAACAGAAAATACTTTTGCCCACTTACATTTTCATTCAATTTAAACGTCATTAGCAGTAGGTATTATGTCGGTTCATTAAGAGGTTGAAGAATTTATTTGGAATATTCAGCCATATAGGTCGATTTTGATGTTACAAAGATGAACACGGCAGGGAAGCAGACATCAGATGTATGGAACGGTTAACAGTGCGCACTGGGATAAAAGTGCTTTGCTTTCCTTCCTTTTTTCCAGGTTGCCATATTCTATCACATAAATTGCTTAATATATGTTTTAATATATTTTGCAGCCAGACATGTTGGCTGCTCTGCTGAATAGGCTGCCCACAGTGCTATGCAGCTTCATACTGTAGATTTCATTACATGGACTGTGCTTACCCAATTGTCAGGGAAGCTACAGTACCTGTATACAGTGACACTGGAAAGAAGGATTAGGCTTTTAGGAGGAGCCAGGGAGGAATATTCTAGTTTCACATCTTCAAGAAACAGAGCATAGCAAAGATATTGTGGATTGTTATATGTTACTTTTATTTTTTTCTGTAGTTTACATTAAACAGGACAGCACGTATTGAGTAATACACTTTACATGTACAAAGCATTCATATTTCCAGTTTGGGGGAAAACTAAATAGTCTATTAATTCAAGAACTATCAACTCTGGTTCTTAAATAGCTGTATATGATATATTGTGGGATTTATGAAAGGCTATTTTCCCCAATCAGACTCAGCTCTGACTTGATTGAAAAGTATACCAATAAATTCCTTAAATTGTCCTTCTTGTTTTTCAAAGAAGATCAAATTTACAAGAGGTGAAAACGTTCACATACAGTACACTGCAAAAGTTAAATTTAAGAAGTGGAAAAAACAAAACATCAGCAAATTTACCTTACGAGTTGACCTAAATAAGAAGGAACTCTAATGAAATAACATTAATAGATACAGAGTTAGCCCTGGACCAGGGATGAGAAACCCAGGATTGGACAATGCTCTGGAGTGCATTTCATCCAGGTAATTAGAAATTTGGACCCGTGACATGCAAAAGTTTGTTCTGTCTAGATCAGTGATTCTTAGTCCTGCTCTTGAGAGACTCCTGCCTCTTATTGTTTACATCCCAACTAAGCCCTTAACCACAAATATTAACTAGTGGTTGTAATTGATCTTCTTGCCTGTTTAGACTTTTTTCTGCACTCAACCCTTGGTTTCAAAAAGTAGCTAAAGTATATAGCACATTATTCCATCGACATCAGCATACTGACCTTTATGCACTCTCCTCAAACTGCTAATGAAGAATTTGCTATCTTTCCTCTAAAAAGCTCTTAATAGGCAAACCTTCTCTAATGAACAGCACAGGCAGGAATGACAACGTACAGTATCAGAGACTCCCACGATTCATCCTAAATCCAGATGGTTAAATTAAAGAAAAAAAAAAATCAACTAGCCTGCAATTAAGAACTTAGCTGGAGATGAACCCAAGAGGCATGCTGTTTCCACAAGATCAAGAGCAAAAACCACTGGTCTGACAAACAACAATCCACTATTTCACCCTCAATCAGACTGTAGACAACCTGCTGTGTGGCTACAAAAGGAATTTCAGTTTCCAAATCTACATAATTCCAGCGTCTCTCATTGAATTAAAAGCCTGAAATACTTACATGGAGTTTTAGGAATTTCAAGAACTCCTCCACATTCTCTTTGCTGACTGAATTTAAAAATTCCTCTCGTTTTGTCATATTTAGATGCCAGCACCCCAAGTGCTTTGCTGCAAAACAGTGAAAAATAAACACAAGTTGTGTCACAATAGAAACAAAATACATGGTCCAATAAATCCAAGCTGAGAAAAACATGAAAAAGGACATTTATAATATACCTATTTTAATTTTCCAACATAGAACTCTGCAAATCGACTATTAAATCCGTAAAAATGATTGCAAAATGTAAATGTACACATCTAAGCTATTTTGGACATAATATAAACTTTATCACCACCAATATTCATCTGCATTAAATGTTAAAGTATGGTTAAATTAGCATTAAATCCCGTTTTAATGCATTCTGAATAATAAGAACAACATTTTATTAGAGATGCAATTCAAGCAGCAAGCTAATGCTAACCATAACAAACCAGGGCATTATGATACAGTAGAAGTCTGTCCATCTTAATGGTTCAACAACAACCAGGTTACAATATACTGTAAGTTTGTTTAAATAATACCATGTTATTAAGAATAATTATCCTATTAAGCATAATAGGGCTTATTAATTATTATATGACTTTGATTACATTTGCACTTCATTCAATATATGGCATCCACTGGAAAATGCAGCTTTGATCGGAATAACTACAGTTATGTCACTAGTACTACAATTGAAAAAATGCATTAAAGCATCCCACAAGGCCAGTTCTGTTTTAAATGTAACCCTGAACGTCAGGTTTAAGGTGGCAGCACATTTCTTAGGTGTCCTAATTCCCCTCAATTTAGAGAGGTCTATTTCTATTTCAGTGACACCGTACGACAGTCGACAATGTACTACAATCTCAGGTGCTGTCAAGAGTGACTATATTTCACAGAAATACGCTGCTGATTTACGTGCAAAGGGTGATTATCATGTTTACAATTTAAAAAATTGCTTGTTCTCTCTGTATTTTGGGACTTCATCCAGTGTAAGCTGAGGTTTGATATATCTGTTGTCAAAACATTTTTGAACAAGCACTGCTATACTGCAAAGCAGCTAATGAGGACTGATATTTGCAGTAGCGCTGTACATAAGTTCGGAAACAGAAGTAAATAGAAACCTTCCGTTTCTAGTGCTGTTTGTCCTGCTGGACAAACCCGCCACTTTATCTAGATAACAGCATTTGACATAGTTCACAGCTCTCGATTAACTAAAATAATACAAACCCATTATCATAGCAAAATATGTTCAGTCATGAACGTGATGTGGAAATCATATTATGGTGGAGAAATCAGCGTAACGTCGTATGATCCTTTGGATAACAAATCACACTTAAAAAAATAAATATAAAAAAATAACAATGAGCGGAACAGCACAAATCATTTATTTAATCGTCAAACGGCTCACAAAATTAAAAGAAAGGAGCTACTTACCAGCAACAATTCTTTCCAGATACTTTTGCTTTTCTCGTCCCACTACCCTAAACAGTTTACAATTGCCGCGCAAAATTGAATTGACTTCTTCAACTTCCGCGGATACCTCGGCCGTGCGCGCCCTCGCGTGCGTTCTCGAGAGCGCGCACGTCCACACACAAGCGCATCCTGGAGTTGGAGAGATAGGGGTCCTCTTGTGTCGGAGTAGGACGTCAGCTCTGTTGGTAGGACTGTGAAGTGAGGAATACCCACTTTTACTTTTCCACTCGCTGCAAGCTGGTGCTCGGGAGCTTTTGGAGGCAAATACAGTTTTTGCTCTCACATGTATGCAACGTATAGGGTCAAAATTTTAATATTTTGTCATTTTCCCGACAACAAAGATACATTATATTTAATACAATACAGTCATTAGTTAATTTAAATTTTAACCTCGTTAAAAAAAATACATTAAAACATATTTTTGATAGGTTTGGAGCACAATTTTGAATTTCTAGTCAATCCAGAAATTCAAAGGCAATTATAAACCCTACATTTGCTCCGAATATGGCACTAATGTTATAAAACTATGCAGACATTCACATTACAATGTATTAACAAGAGCATTTGGAAGCGAATGTGATTTCTGGTAAAATCGTACTTCAGAGTGCAATGCATAAATAGTTTGGTTGGTGTCTCATTTGCATGATTTAAAATGTTGCATCTCCATGGAGTACATGAACAATTTCATGGTGCAGCTTCTATATATTTCACAGGTGACTCTACATCATGCCATGGCGCATGAAGTTAATATCGACAGCTCCTCGCTGAATTCAGTTTATCCTCCATAAATCTGCTTTTGTTAGAAGGACTTAGTGTTCAAAATAACCCCAAAAGACTGATAAAAGACATACAGTTTAATTAGCACTATTGTTCAACAAGGGAGACAGTACTTCTGTGGCTATACAGTAGGTGGATGTCACATGGAAGGAGTCACTGTGATATAAGGTCATGTCATCCACAAACAACTTGTTCATGTTCATGGACACCCTGTGCCGTCCATTGGGACAAAAAAAAGGAAAGCATTTCTTTTTCTGTTCCCATGTTGTAATGCCTTTTGCAGAGATAAATGTGTCCATGCTAACTAGCAGATAAGGCTATCTGCTACACCGCTGGCATGAACTGTCTCTGCGGAGTGAATAGGCAAACGAGTCTCTTCGGTGTGGCATGCAAATCAACCTCCATTAAACATCTGGGGGATTATTTCGAGTAAAAAAAAGTCAGCAGCACAGCAATGCAGTCAGCTGAAATGGCTGCACCACAACAGAGACCATGCCCTAAACACCTACATCTGAAAAGCACAATATTTGTGCTTAAATTAGGTAGAGTTAGGCTACCAAAACTTAGAGGCCCAACGAAATCCATCCTCAATCGGACTCCTTGGCCATGTACACCTCTAAAAGAGATTGGTAATATCCATCCATCCATTTTCTTACTGAGTCTTCCAATTCTGGGTCATAGGGGAGCCAGAGCCTATGGGTGCAAGGCAGAGTACAACTGCAGAGTAATGGGTAATGATCAAATTAATTTCTTCCTTGTGTTCAGGTGGAAGTGAAATGGGGATGAGTAGTGCATTGCTGCCTCAGAGCTCTTGGGTCCAGCTTGAACACCTTCTGTGTGGAATCTGCACGTTTCTGCCCATGGGCTGATGACCATCTAATCCAATCTCATTTCATTTTATTCTGGGCATCCAGCATACTTTATGAATCTGCCTAAAGTCATGTGAACTATTAATACGCAGATACGTCAATGAAGTGTGATAGTGAAAGTATGATACAGTACATGTACAGAAGAGAAGTTATGCACTGTATGTCATTACAATAAATCAGTACATGTTTTTATTAACATTTAAAAAAAAGGTTGATAATTTCCATAATGCCTCTGTATCACAGATCAGAGTCACAAATGTATTTATAGTGTATCCCGAGAGATTTCTTACTATTAAACATTCTCGCAATACACAGACAAATGTGTACATATGGAGATAGACAGCCAAAACAAATAAATATATCAGAATCTTGTAAGATATACTTAAGTGTTTTAAGGATTCCTGCAAATGCCCAGCAGTGCTTGCACCTGAACTAGGGTAATTTTGCAGAACTAACTTCAAAGGAAAATGAGGTAGGACAATCTGTCCAGAAGGTAAAACGGGTTGACAATTTTATCCACTAGATGTCAGTGTAATCACACAGACATGCCTTTGAAAATTGTGTATTAGTCTGACTCAACACAGCAGCTAGAGCTTTTCCTATTAAGTCATTATTTTAGTACACTTAATGTACTTTAGAAATGTTTGGGAAAAAAGCAATGTCTCAGCTTTCAAATTATTTGTGGGGAAATTTTTCTTTGTGACCTTAGTGATTTACACTGATTTTACAGGCTTTGAGATGTTTTCTGTCTTTAAAATACTGTATCTTCAATTCATATGCAGTATAATGGATATATTTTTTATCTTGCTTCCCATTTTCAGAATTCAGATATTTTAGTCCCTCTTTACTAAAAGAATGCCACAATTCCATAACAGTTCCATAAAAAAGTAACTTAATGTTACACGATTTGCGTGGAGAAGAGTTTCTCTAAAATCTTTGACTTAAAAGAATATAGTTTTGTATTGACTTTCAGGACTAAAAGTAAAGCAGAATGAAGCATTTATTTTCGCAACGGATTTTTGGGACTAAAAAAAAATCTAGATCTGTTTTGACCCATTTTCCATCCTAGGGCTTTTCCACCTATTCTCAGACACATCTGTTAATCCCTGGATTAGTTCTTTTGCTATTGCCATAATATTCTTGAAACAGCCGTGTCACTTCCGTTATTTTAGGAGCCCAACTGAATGAATCTGTGAAACATCATACATCAAAAATCATACAGAATCTCCCTAGGGCACACTTTAGCAGAATCATCTGTGATCCATTTCCTGGTATCTTGAATTACAAAGTCCTGAAAGACACTAAAGCACCTCACCTGAATAATGTGATTGCCCTGTTTTCATGCCTACTGTAAATACCAGCTTTTTGTATGGCTCCATTTTTCTAGTCTCTCCATTGGCCACCTATTGCTGCACGGATCCAAAACCTAACCATTATGCTCCCCCACATACTGTGTCTCTAACATCTTCTGTAACCCCTTGTTGTTTCCCACTGTTTTTCTCCTACCTCCCTCCTCAGTGGTGGAAGGAGTTACACAGAGAAATGGGAACTGCTCAGTCATTGAACACTTTTTGGGTTTTTGCAAAAGACTAAGCTTTAGAGCTAGACGCAGCTGACCTCTCAGCTCTCAACTACATCTTTCAGTAATTCTTACACTGTGTTGCACTATATACTGTACACTATGCAGATGGAGCACTCACCATCACCTTAATGGCACTCTGTATTCTTTAAAAGTGGCTTCTCAAAGTGCTTTTCAGTAAGAAAAAAGCACATAATGAAATGAAACAGCAGAATTACACAATTACAATGAGGGTTTGGCAAACATTAGAAAAGCCATGGTACAGAAATAGAACCAGTAAAATAAAAGCCCTTCTAAAGAATGAGGTTTTGAAGATTGAAGACAGAGAGGTGACCATGCAGAGCCATATAGGTGAGCATGAGGATTTTGAAGATGACACGAAACCTGATAAGAAGCCAGTGCAAGGACTCCAGGACAGGAGTAATGTGATCACTTGCACCAGACCTGGTAAGGATTTTAACTGCTGAATGCAGGGCATACTATAGTTTGTCCAGTATGAATTTATATATCCCGGCGAGCAGGGCGTTACAGTAATGAATTTGAGAGAAGACATAGGTGTTTGCAGCTTTTCAGCAACAGTTAGCGACAACATAGGATGTTTGGTGATCTGCTAAACAAATTATAATAGTTAGCCATGCAGGATGTGAAAAAGGCCAAGTTACCATATGCAGATGTGTATTTGCCTGGAGCTTCCTTTGGTTCCTGCTTTATCATGGTCATAATCATTTTATAAAGCTCCTTTCTTTGTATACCAGTTGTTTTTTCCTTTTTTTTTCTTGTTCATCTTCATCATTTGTCCATTCATTTTAGAATCATAGCTTCATTTCCACTTGTCCAATGGAGAATTTTTTGCAGTAACTGTCATAACTGTATATCTTCATGACATGGGTTCTGACATTTTGAGAGTGCTGAAAATAAACCAGGTATGCTGCAAGTATTTTTTAACTGGATATACAGTACTATATTTAGCCTGTACAATTACCAGGAACAATTTCAGTAGAACACCAGAAAAAAAAAAAAACAGTTCAGCTCCATTGGTGTAAATTCTGAAATTTAACAGATGAATTTATACAAAGTGATTTAATTGAAGTGAATATCACTGCAGTTTTATTTAAGTTTGAGGTCTCATCTGAAGGGCAGAGCACAGGTTACATAACTGGCTGAGGTACAAGCACGGTGAGTCAGTGGGAGAGCTGGGCTTTGATCTGGAATACTGCAGTAAACGTGATTTTACCTTAATTATTGGACTAAAAACAAATTTGTGTTACAGGTTTTTCATTTCCTCATGTTTCAGGCTGTTCCCAGTCCTCTGGAAAGCTGATTGACAGCCAAAATAAACTTCATTGTATGTTTATCTCTAATCTCCGGATGCTCAATATTCACTTTTATCAAAGCTTAGCACAATTATTTTTCAAAGCATATTGCCTGTGTACAGTATCTTCAACAATTTTCAATAGAGTCTTGACATGTTCCATGTAAATATAGTCAATTAGAATGTTTAGGAACAAGATAATTATATTCAACAGACGATTTGTCTGAAAGCACTTTGTAATCCTTAAATACACACTATACTGTATAAAAGAGATTAGTTCTTTCTCTTTAATGAAATAAGCTATTAAGATGTGCAGAAGTTTCCTAATGGTCATTTTGGGCATTTCTACAGTGCCTTGCGAAAGTATTCGGCCCTCTTGAACTTTTCAACCTTTTGCCACATTTCAGGCTTCAAACATAAAGATATAATTTTTTTATTTTATGTGAAGAATCACCAACAAGTGGGACACAATTGTGAAGTGGAACGAAATCTATTGGATTTTTGAAACTTTTTTAACTAATAAAAAAATGAAAAGTGGGGCGTGCAAAATTATTCGGCCCCCTTGCGTTAATACTTTGTAGAGCCACCTTTTGCTGCGATTACAGCTGCAAGTCGCTTGGGGTATGTCTCTATCAGTTTTGCACATCGAGAGACTGAAATTCTTGCCCATTCTTCCTTGCAAAACAGCTCGAGCTCAGTGAGGTTGGATGGAGAGCGTTTGTGAACAGCAGTTTTCAGCTCTTTCCACAGATTCTCGATTGGATTCAGGTCTGGACTTTGACTTGGCCATTCAAACACCTGGATACGTTTATTTGTGAACCATTCCTTTGTAGATTTTGCTGTATGTTTGGGATCATTGTCTTGTTGGAAGATAAATCTCCATCCCAGTTTCAGGTCTTTTGCAGACTCCAACAGGTTTTCATCCAGAATGGTCCTGTATTTGGCTGCATCCATCTTCCCCTCAATTTTAACCATCTTCCCTGTCCCTGCTGAAGAAAAGCAGGCCCAAACCATGATGCTGCCACCACCATGTTTGACAGTGGGGATGGTGTGTTGAGGGTGATGAGCTGTGTTGCTTTTACGCCAAACATATCGTTTTGCATTGTGGCCAAAAAGTTCGATTTTGGTTTCATCTGACCAGAGCACCTTCTTCCACATGTTTGGGGTGTCTCCCAGGTGGCTTGTGGCAAACTTTAGACGAGACTTTTTATGGATATCTTTGAGAAATGGCTTTCTTCTTGCCACTCTTCCATAAAGGCCAGATTTGTGCAGTGTAAGACTGATTGTTGTCCTATGGACAGACTCTCCCACATCAGCTGTAGTTCTCTGCAGTTCATCCAGAGTGATCATGGGCCTCTTGGCTGCATCTCTGATCAGTCTTCTCCTTGTCTGAGCTGAAAGTTTAGAGGGACGGCCAGGTCTTGGTAGATTTGCAGTGGTCTGATACTCCTTCCATTTCAAGATGATCGCTTGCACAGTGCTCCTTGGGATGTTTGAAGCTTGGGAAATCTTTTTGTATCCAAATCCGGCTTTAAACTTCTCCACAACAGTATTACGGACCTGCCTGGTGTGTTCCTTGGTCTTCATGATGCTCTCTGCGCTTTCAACAGAACCTTGAGACTATCACAGAGCAGGTGCATTTATACAGAGACTTGATTACACACAGGTGGATTCTATTTATCACCATCAGTCATTTAGGACAACATTGGATCATTCAGAGATCCTCGCTGAACTTCTGGAGTGAGTTTGCTGCACTGAAAGTAAAGGGGCCGAATAATTTTGCACGCCCCACTTTTCATTTTTTTATTAGTTAAAAAAGTTTCAAAAATCCAATAGATTTCGTTCCACTTCACAATTGTGTCCCACTTGTTGGTGATTCTTCACATAAAATAAAAAAATTATATCTTTATGTTTGAAGCCTGAAATGTGGCAAAAGGTTGAAAAGTTCAAGGGGGCCGAATACTTTCGCAAGGCACTGTATATGTGATGCACAATTTTCTAGAAGGAAATCAACCTTTTGACTTACTTTCAGTGAGCTACAGCATTTGTGACCTCTGTGAACAAATTAAGGAATAGGCCGCAAAGAGCCAGGTTTATAAAAAATCATGAAAGGTTCAAGTATAATTGACCTGTTTTGTGAAATGAAACATCTCCATATGGCCTTGGTATGACAAAATATAACCTGTTTTCTTCTAAAAATAATGCACTTGCATACAGTATAGCTTTCTGACACCACACCACTGAAATGAGAGAGAGCCTCGTACTGCAGATATAGCTCTTTATTATTTCAAAGTTGTGAAGAGACATTCTGAAACATGGAAACTTTGAAAAGTTCTTTATGCCAAGTTCTCATACTTATACATCTTTGAGCATTTTTATTTTTAAGGCACAAGATAAATAAAGTAAAGGGTGAAGGCAAAGGAACTGGTCATGGAAAGAAATGCAGAATGTTCAGAGACAACTGTCATTCGATGGCCCACAGAGGAAATTGCACTTTAAAGGAAAATACAAGTTGTCCGAATAATAATAAAAAAAAAAAACAGCACTGGAAAAAGTAAAAAAAGAAGAGCATTACAGTTCATATCCATATGCTTATTTTTGTCCAATAAATATGATTTTATTACACAAATTATGCAAGCAATTCTAAATATTATGCCAGCCAGAATAAATGCCTGTTTGTAATAAACTAAGATTTGGACACACACCAAAATAGTGAATTTACATTTATATTATACTAAATAGACTTACATTCACCCTTAATTGCAGCCCAGGGATTCTCAATGCAAACTTGAAATGTCAGGAGTCTTAAGAATCCGCCCTGCTTGTATGGATCAAAAGCCAAGAATCTAAAATACTATTTTCATGAAGAAAGGTGCTGCCAGACACCTTTGAAACGGTTTAGCTCTTATTGTGAATACAACAGGCTTGAAATCACCAACTGGAGGCATCTACAGCAGTACTACAGCACAGCTATTGTATATCATAATCTTGTGAAGTCTGAAAAAATATCTTCGGGATTCCTTTAGAAAAAAGCAAACAATAATGAATTAAACAAAACTACCTCTTCATGAATAAAATAGGAAAAAGATTAGCAGGAACAGGCATACATACTGTATATGTAGATATAAATTACATTGTAGTATTGAGCAAAAGTTTGGGTTCTTGTTATTGAGTACATTTGTTGTTTATATGAGAATGACAGATTTCCCACACTACCTACATTATTAAGAAGCTGTTGCTTTAGTTACATAAATGTAGAAACAACAGTAAAGTGTTTATGAAAACTGCTTTACTCTGTTCAAAAAGCCCTGTAATTTGTTTTAAAAAAAACTGACCCCCAAAAATAAGTTCAGAATGAGTCTTACTTGATGTTAACAATTGTGAAATGCCCACACCATTTCTAATTCTACTGCAAAAGAAAATTATACTATAACAATATACACTGATTTAGAAACTTAGAGACGATGGCTTCCCAATGGTGGACACAAAATTGAATCTCATTATTAAACTACATTATACTTGTCCAGAAAAACCATATCACTGAGGGTCAGAAAAGGAAATGGGGGCCTGGCAAAAACGTGAAGGCAGTAGCTGTCGGCCGAGGCGGCAACCAATGTGAACATGTGTTTTAGCAGAAGAACAACACTAGCGGTGCAGGTTCATAAAGCCAGGATTAATGTTATGAAATCAATGTCAGGTGTTCTTTCTAAATTAAAATGTATTACTGTACATTTGCGCAAAATCCCCAAAACATTAATTGGAAAATGTCTGGATCTCAACTATGCCTGTTTGCTATAAAGACAGTTGGTGAACACTATGCTGAACGTCTACAGCCACCTCTGAAGCACAAAAAGGAATACAAGACCATTTTTGGGGTGGTACTCGGTTTTTGACATTGGGGGGGGGAAGGAAAGCTAACCAAGGACGAAGAACACAAGCTGATAGTACAGCACCATGCAGTTAAACCAGAAATCATTTCATTGGTCGATATAATATTTTTTTCCAACATGGCAACATTTCCAAACGTACTGTAAATATGGCCATACAGTATGCATACAGTATGTTACAAAAAACACCAAAAAAACAAATAAACTATTTTACTACAAAATAACCCAAACCTTTGATCAACACCGTGTATATATTTGGCTTAAAACCCACATAGGCAATAAAATGAAATACTTGTCTCTTTGGCAGCTAGTGTTCTTCAGCTAAATGAAAAATATATCAACCTGTAGCACTATATTCTAAAGCAAAATGTTTAAAGGTTTACCTGCCATTTAAACAAGAAAAATACTATTTCCCTCCTTTTTCATTGTTAAACTTTTCCAATGGCATTACGTCATGTTACATATTTACAAGTTGTACATTAATGACATAGAAAAACAAGGCAGGAGATCAGCTGTAAGAAACACAGCAAAAATATTTTTACACTCCTCTTTTCTTTTTAAGCATTTTAACACCACATGCTTTCTTATATCTATTGCACATAACTGATTATTGTTTAAAAAAGGGAACATAGCACAGAGATGCTATCCCTTGGAAAATGTCAAAGCATTTACAATTACAGGTTGATTGTATTAAAACATTAAATGAAAAAAAAAAGATGTGTGCATTGGCTAAAATAATTAGCTATAAAAATAATGCTGGTTTAATTTGATAATATTAAGAAGAAGACCAAAAGCAGGCTTGGGGAAGGTGCATTAAAATTTTGATTTGACACATATATTCTAGGTTTGAAGTGTTGATCTTGAGCCGTCCTCAGTAAGGTCAAACCTGGAAAGCCAAAAGAGAACAATCAGTTTTTCCACCAACATGGCAAAGAAAATGTTTCTTGTCATGGTTGGTTTTGTGTCCTAAACCACTGCAGTCATGTCAGTTCCAGTGCAATTTGCACTCAACTTCTGACTGAATTAAAACTAGTACAAACAAAGATGTGTACTAATGTGAAATACACCAGCTTGTAAACTAACAAACATGTAAAACTGCAGGAATGTTATTTTTTTATTTTACAGAGCCCTTTACAAGTCATGTGTTATTTCACTATTGTTTTGGCTTTCAATTTCAATTTGGCCTTTTTTGCTTTTGTTAGTCTGCTGTAGTCTGTTGGATTGTTAGTGCCAAAAAGTCAATCCAGGTGCTTGTATTTACGTTGTATTTACGTTGGTGAGAGATGCATTGCATGTTGGCTTGTAAGAGCAGAGGTCAGACAAAGATTCCTTTGTTTAACTTTTCATTGCTTGAATGGCTCACAGACAAAGCCTTCAGTATCTTTGGTACTGCTACAGGATAAGGGCGCGAGGATCATATTCTCAGTTCATGCGCTAGTCCTGTTCAAATTATGTCAGGTATTCGCCATCAAAATTTCAAACCTGAGAGAAGTAGTTCAATGGTTTATGTCAACAGAGAACAATGGAAAACTTACAAGTGTTCATACTCTATTTGAAGAAGTTTTAAGAATTAAAGAAATCACTACAACTGAAGCTGGAAGGGATATGGGGTCTGGTCCTTTTAATATTAACATTGATAAATTTCAGTTAGCTACCAATTTGATTTTGTAAAACATTTTTAACATAGATTTTTTTAAACAGGAAAAAAATGTACTTCTTTTGATGAGAACATATTTGCAAATGAAAGCAATGTTGGATGCAGTAATACCTTAAACAAAAGATGCATGAGTATTGATAATAAGTTGGGAGTTGTCACCAAGAAAGAGCTGTCAAGGGCTCAGCCACATCTGAAAGTGTGTTAGTCACATCTGTCTACAGTAAAAGTGCCTAAGACACTCCTAAATCATGTGCAGGTAGGAACCAAGAGCAACAGGGCAGATGAGGAAGGGACAGATTTCCTAAAGCGAGTACTGCATGTAGCCAAAAGTCACTTCGCTAGGAGTAAAACTAATTAAAAAAAAAGAAAAAAAACACAACTAATAAAAAACTAATGTTAAATCAGCCTCTTTTCACTCACCATTGTGTGCATCCTTTGGTTATATCTTCACTAGTCAAATCTACTAAAACCTGGAAATTCAGAAAGAAAGAGAAAAATATGCATTAGCCAAAGAACATCATGTAAGTTATTGTCTATGATAAAACTCGGAGTATATTCTATATTATAGGTTAAGTGATGGACACCAAGATGATGGACACCAAGAGAGATGTCCATCACAGAAAAAAAGAAGGACATTAAGATTCTTGTGCATCACTTCCACATGTTTGCAAAACTGGAATATATTTTATTTTGGTGGGGCCAAATGTTTACCTATTGTTTTCCAAGTAGCACTTGATAAAACACAATTTGGAATGATCACTGTGTTTCTCATATCACACATGGAAAAAGAAAGAGGAAGTGTAGGCCGATTCCTCCAACAAGCCTGCCTGCTAACCAATTATTTTTTTACACACTATTTTTATTTAATGTCACACACTACAAAGCCCAGCAAAGAATGATCAGCACCAACTGGAGGAGTAGTGCATCCCCCACCTACACAATCCTGAATCTGAAGCCGAGCTTCTCTAGAGCCTAAGCATCAAAATCCTAAAATGTTTTATATATACATAAATGTATATATATATATGTTTTTTAAATGGAGCAACCAGTTCCATTTTATTACATACATCATCTTGAAAAAATATAGCCTATTTAAATCAAATCTCAATAAGCATTCACTGAAATACATCTAGGGCTTGATGCATAAAAAAGCTTTCCTGCATGCTCATTGGATCGATGCACAAGAAAAAAAGCAGGTACCCTTCTTAGAAAATCAACAGGGTGTATATAACTCACAGGCTGGCACGTGAGACTGAAGAGTTAAAAAACAGAAAAAGACGCGTGCACATCTTTAGACTATTTTCCATCGGGACCTCTCTCTGTTATTTTGTTTGATCTTTTCAGATTATGTAAATATTCTGGACAGTGGAGCTCACTCAAAAGTAAATTTTGAAACACAAGAGTCAAGCATTAATCACTAACCTTCCCAAGAAGTCCTTTGTGTTTTGACAGCAAGCCTCCTCCATTCTTCACCGCTACATCCAGAGTTCTCCTGTGCAGTTCGACTAGGGAAACACTGAATTCGAACCTGAAGAAACACAAGAGAGATGTCAGCACTACGGTGTAGAATAGGCCTCAACATGAACAGACTTCTTATGATTTCACATCTCTCAGCAGCTTCCCCAAGACTCTTTTGACGAAAGCCACTGACAGAGATGAGCTCGGCAATCCTGGATCTGAATCTGGTTGAAAACATTTGGATAGAGTACCCAGGAACACCATTAAAAGCACCACACTGGTTAGCTAAACATGGCGTAGAGAACAGGGTGGGAAGTTAATCTTTTCATGCGGGTTTAATTGGCGTTACTAAATCAGAGGTTCCCAAACAGTTGTCTGTGGAGTAGAAGCTCCTCCCAGGTGGTTCATGAAGAAAGGTTACAGTTTTTTAATTAAACATTTTATTGCTGGAGATTAGTGTTATTCATTTTTAATTACTGTATTATGTATGTTGCTGCTTTGCAGCTCTGTGCCTCTGGGCTCAATTCCAGACCTGTGGTGCTGTCTGCATGAAGTTTATATGTTCTCCCCGTGGGTTTCCTATACTGATAGGTTAACAGGCTTCTGGAAAAACTGTCCCTGGTGTGACTGTGCACGTGTCTGTGTGTGCCCTGTGATGGACTAGTGTCCTGTCCGGCTTCTGTTTTGCACCCTTTGCTAGCGGGAATAGGACTCCAGGTCCCCCATAATCCTGAACTGGATGAAGCCGTTAGAAAATGGCTGGCTGGCTGGCTGGATAAATAGATTTAGTGTTTATCACCATACTGTAAAAAAAAACAACGTTTTTTTTCAATTTATACGAATCATGGCCCACCCTGCCTTTGCATGCATGCAGAGCTTAAATTTTCTGATAACATAACATTAGCCAAGAAAAACCTATATTACTTCCAGCTTGAAATTGTTCACAGTTCAAAACAGTCCAGTACATGGAACCTGAAGTCTCAGCTTTATTTTAAATACATTTTTGGACCATTAAAAAGAGACCAAGCCGTGTTCAAAATAGTAATTGTGGGGTAGGTGCCAGTACATCTGAACACGTGTGGAATGTTACACTGTCTACAAACACCGTTAGCGTTGCTGATGAAATGAGTGCTAGTGGCAAACCATGTAAAACCACAAGGAATTATGATACAACCACACAATAACAATTGTATGGTTGTATCATGGGAAAGGAGAAAAGCCCTCACTATATGGTTTGTTAGAAGGTACTTGCAAAGGGCAGAATGAAACCTGCAAATCTTCCGTAATATCTAAAAATAAAACACTCAAATAAAACCCATTAAATTCTTCTATCTGGGCTGAAGCAAGGGAAAACTATTTTTAATAATCAACTTAACACCTATGGATTAAGGCCCTTGAAGATTCTTACTGTGCCAGCCTTTATATTGCAAAGCAGGATTAAATACAATTGATAAGATTATCCTTCTTATTAGATTCCTAATATGCAAATGGATTAACACAGTGCTTCTCTTCAACTGTTAACCATAGAATTAATGAAATGGTGAAAAATATTCAGGGAAAGCATGGGAAAATTAGTCTATAATTTGCCCTGCAATTAGCTGAGACTAGTGATATTGCTGACTTAGCTTATCTGCTTGTATATATCAGCTGTGAAGATAAAGTTGCACGGTAAATGAGAAAGCTAGGGAGTGCCTCCACACTTACACGACTGACAAATTTCTCAAAAAGACTTAATTTATTCATCAACGACATGACACAGTGGCAAGACAAACTGGACATTAAACGCCTGTCGTAAAAAGAATTTTAAATTTTTTCCTCCAAAACACTTTCAAATCCATGGTACAATTTGTATATGCGCTTAAGGTCTGTAAAATATACAAGGCCAGCCTATAGGGTGGTGCTGTGTTTGTGTCTGTTGCATGTTAAAGGCATTATTTTGTGCACACATCCCCATTTTGGTAATCCAATTACAGGGATCTGCATGGTATACACATGGCGTAAATAAGGGATATTTGAAAGATGATAAAAGAGAGAATTATTTACAGATATGCTTTGAGTGAATGACACAAGTTTCAAACTCACGTCTGATCATATACTGGGTTTAGCGTCTTCTTCATTGTGTGGGTTTTCCTCCGGCCGGTTCTTCTCTTGTCAGGCAACAGATACAGCCGGACATAAGGGTCTGACCCATCCTCGGTGAACGCTATGAGGTTGCTACAACATTAAAAAGATCAGCAAAATAGATTATACTGTAGCTCATAGAAGTTATTGCTTTTACAAAGAAACATTTAATGGGGAACTGCAATGCTACATTTCGAGGTTAGAAAGAATCAGCATTTATGAGTGCATGGGTAAAATGTACACATTAACTTGTAAAACCTCCAATTTACATCACAAAATAGATCACATTTCCAGGTATGCGCCGTGCCATATTCTGTCATTTAGAATGAGGCAAGGAAACATCTGGCGACGTGAAGGAGCCCCATTACACTATAAGGAAGCAGGCTTGTGAATACATCTTTTTTATTCCAATAGAAACATTGGAATAATCTAAAGACCATCTTAACACTGTTTCTCTCTACTTACCGGCAAGCATGCACCACTACAATCAGTTTATTCCTTTGAGAACTGTGCCTGACGGTCAGCTGGACTTGACCCAAAGGATAATGGTTTGCAGCCGATCCACTGTTAACAAATAAAATAAAATAGACATTTTTTTTTTACCTGTTCTGTATTCCAGTCTGCATTTTACAATCTGTAGTTTAAATATGACAGAGCAAAAACATACTTCAGTGACCACACAGCCATGACCCTGAATTTTCCAGACCAATGAACTTTAATTACCCTCTTTTAACTAAACAGATAAAGGCCAATAAAAATACAATTGCTTCACCCTCCTTTTGAAACTGTATTAATTAAAAAAGGTATTAAAGAGTTTGGAGTGTTTGGCAGGTTAACACATTTCAGACTGAAAATAGAGTATAGATAAAACACCTTAATATCACCTTAAATATCACTTGGATAAAATCAAAATATAGCTGAACATCACTACAATATACTGCAGTCTCATTATTGTCTTTATAGATAAGTCTATAAATGAGCCATCTCAAACTACAACGATAAAAACCTTCCAAAACTGAAATGATCTTCTAACTTTATGAAATTGGTAGCAAAAAAACAGACTGTAAAGAATTTACTTCTGAAGCTGGCGAAGTCTTTGCTGTAGCTCTTGGGTGGCAAAGGGCTGGGAGATGTCAGAGGCGATGCTGGGTGTAGACTCCTTTCCTGCCAGGTGAGGATGAGAGCTGCAGATGACCAGGTTGCTGGTACTTCTAGTAGAATAACTAGACTGCTTCTGTGGGCTTCCTGGAAGGCCCTGTTCAGGATACTCGGGCCTTCTGTGAAGGTCAAAGGCCGAGGCCGAAGCTGAGGGAGGCAGGTTTGAGATTGGGTTGGGCGATTCGGGGGTCCAGGTTGGTGTGACCGGAGGCTTCTGTGGTTGGGCCTTGTTACCATCTTTGTTGTTAAACCCAGCCTTCTTCACCTGGACCGAAGATGGCTGGTCTGAAGTGGTCTGTTTCTCCAGGGAAAGAATCTGAAAAAAAAAACAATGCTATCTCATCATATTTCTGTTCATACATTCATGGTCTTCTCAAAGCATCTGGAAACAGCAACCCCGTCATGTTTCAGAAGTAAACTTCCTAGGATTCAGATACCCCCATTTTAGATTTACACACTGCAGTCCCCGAAAAAAGCCAGCAAGTCAGGTAAATAACTAGGAAGAATCTGACAACTTGCCAAAAACAATCCATCTCTGAAGCAATGGCAAAGAAGTCTGAAGTTAATTAAATTCACAGTACATTTAGTTTTAAAAGCACCCAATAGTCATGGGACTCAAAATTGCTGACTTTCTCATCAGACTCATAAGAAAATCTCTGATCCCCATGTGTCATTAATCATATTAGTGTTCCTACGCTTGAACTCACTCGTGTCACAATGCAAAGACGGGAAAGTGAACAGGAAGTTTTGCAATGGGTTTGAAATTCGATAACGTTAGTGTCCCCCGAGAGTTTGCATCTTGTTCAAAAGCAATATAATTCAAATGAATAACTTCTTATGACAGATAAATTATACCATACCAATTATTTACAGTACTGTATGTCACATTCTTTCAATATAATATCTTCCGAACCATGGGATTAATATCCCTTTAAACTTTGCTCTTGCATATTTGGGAAAGGTCAACATGGCTGCCTCTGTCACTGACTTTGATGGCCATCTTCATCTTAAGGGTGCAGTTGGGGCCCGAGTTCTTCAGCGGGAAGCGCTGGTGCAGTGTCATGTCTTCAGCCTCCAGCAGATGGGTAAGAGGAATGGTCAGGTTGCCTAAGCTGCACTCGTGCTTTTCATCCTTCACCTGATAGAACAAGAGTAACAGCAGTTTATCAGAAGTGCCCCTCAAGGATGTCGGAGAGTGCCTCCTGGTAATGTGTGCACATGGCAGACCACTGAGGGAGAAGAACTGGGGAGAAATCTAATCTGACTTTCACAAGAAAGGGTGCAAATTTCACAAGAATGCATAACATTCCATCAGTCCCTACAACAACAGTACAGGATCATGAGATCAGATTAATATTTGAGCTTTGTAAGGTAGCTAGCATGTATATATTTCATACTGAAAGCTGCTCTCTTCAGAAGACTTGTTCTGCGTGACAAAAAACTACATGAAAACAGTTCCAAATGGAAGGTACAGTACTCAGTAGTGCTAGAACTATTTTAAGGTCTGTCAATATACATTTTCATAATGCTAGATGTTTACTTGAGCCTTAGTGATATTTTTGATATTAGATCTGCAGATAAATCTTTAATATAAGCAGCTTAGATCTGCTCATCAATTTAGCATACTGTACCTCAACACAGAGCTCTTGTGTTTTTGGATTGTGAATAAGGAAAGAGAAAGCTTCCTCCCAAACAGGCTCATGGGTTTTATATCGGATCTGAAAAAAAGAGATGAGAGTTTTAATCGGATATAAAGCGTATACATACATAAGCAATAATATAATAAAGTATGCATAATCTTAGGATTACAGGACAGCTTCCAAAATCTTTTTGATCTAGTGAAAAATAAGATTTGTGTCTTTTTGCAAAACACAAACCACTCATTTTCATAAATATTTCCATTATAAGAAATATAGTGGTATAGGTAATTCCTATTTTCTATAGTCATTGTTAATCATATTAATTTTTCAATTACATCTTCCATATAAATGTAAATTTATAACTAAGTAATTGTATTATGTATGTCATGTGATTTTTTTCATATAATTATAAAATGTTATTGGATAATGTCATTTAGATCATGGGTAATGGGTTGCTCTTTTAAATGCCTTGAGGTCATTACTTCCTTATTCCAGGAAGTAGATGAAAAATGGTCTACACCTTTTTACTAGCTATGGCTACTAAAAATAATAAAAACACCAGCGAAAAACTTGACTATGACTGCTGGAAGAGACAAACCTTGCCTTTTCTCACCTTGCTTTCCTTGGTTTTGTGACCAACGGACAGCTGAACAAATGGACTTGGGTCACTGCTCACTTTCTTAGCAGACTAAGAAATAAATAACGGTAAATCATATTAGTGAGCGCATATTTTTCAACTGAACTTTACCTTCGTGGACTACAAATTCATTCATCTACGTTTTAGGTAGCATGCAAAAACTTTACCACGACTGGAAGATAATGGATGACCTTAATCTAAGAGGCAGCCCTTTCAGGGAAATGTTGCATAGTTTAATAACCTCATTAATGCTGTATGTCAGCGGCCCCAAATAGTCTTATATCAGACAAAAGAAGAACTGCAATGGAGATAAAGACACTGCAATGTAGATGAAGAAGGAAGAGCATCCAGCTATATACTGTAACTCATAAACTCATAAAATAGGAGCAAGCTTGCGTTCTGTCTAAATATACAATACATGGAAGCATGTGTGTGATGTTTTCTCAAAATTAAAAAAATGTAATGCACAGGCAGTGTTTAGACAGTGTGCAGATCCTCTTCTGGTGTTAACAGTCAGTTTCAGGTTCACGGTTGATAATCATCCTCATTCGTGATGGAAAGTCACTATACATAGCAAATGCTTTTCTTTGTATTATAAAATGAATGTCAGGACACATGGATGTTTTGTATTACAGTATCTGCATTGATTTATTAGGATCTATTCCTATTTTGCTGAATCCTGTTGCATAATTATTGTAACTATTAATACTGTAGGTAATAGATACCAAAGATGCATAGAAATACATACATTTTTGGATAATGAGTAATAATTGACAAATATTAATTGTAAATAAATACACTGTATTTGAAGAAAACATATTAGGCATTCATAGCAAAATCAGCTGACTATATCTCTTAGGAAACTCAGGAGACGTCAATGACTGGTTTTATGGACTTTAATCACAGCTGAAGCGGCTTTAATTTAAAGTAACATCAGTTAATTTGAAGATTATTGCCAATGGGCCAATGTGGAGTCATAATGAGATCATACTGCGGACACTCTGAAATATTTCCGACTCCCTGAGAACTGCTGCATACAGTATGTGTCAGTATTAAAGTGTTCATATCATGTGACATAGAGCTCACTTCAGAATTGTTAATAACAGAGGTGTCTTGGATTGTAATAACCATTTTGTTTACAGAGAGGTTCCAATCAGTGAAATACTTCTGCTGAATTTATTCCTAGCATAAATGTGAAACCACTGTTCTTAATATGTATAAAATACATCCTTCATCACTGTTGTTATTGGTATGTGATGATGAATATTGACTAAGCACAGTACATCAACAAATGTCAGATATTCATTGTAGCAAAACAGCAGGCAAATAAAAGACACAAGGCTTTGCTGTTTGAATATCGGACACGATGACACTAAAGTTTAAGTGTACTGAAGACATGTTGAGTGCTGCTCGCTATACAAAGATGCAAAGAAAAGAATTTGGCATTTACAAAAAAGGTCAAAACAGGTTTGTTTTTTTAAGTGGATGTTCTGTACAGCACAGTGTCAGGAACTGGAATGTTTTCATCCAAGGCTCCCAATTCTACTTTTTTCTTTTAACAAATTGATAAGTTTTGTTTTACAAAACTGAAGAATAACTTGACCCAAGGTTTTACAACCTGCATCTTAAATACAACCTACTCAGAAGGCTGCAAACTAATCTCTAAAGGGGTTAGGTTAAAAAACACTTTTGGGAAGAATACAATAAATATGTTTATATTTATATAGAATTAAAATTCAGTCAAAGAAGACTCTTTTGGAATACAAAGAAATCCTTGAATTTACAGTGCACACCCAGTGATATTTGGCATTGCTTTATTTTAGTTTCATTTCATTACTTTTCACTGTATTAAATCTAAAGATGAACAAATAGGCTTTAATGTAAGTCTTTAGAGATTAATGTGAGAGTAAACAACACAAGAGCACAGGCAAATATTACATCATTATTGCAATATTACAGTACACCACAGAAAGGTAGGGAGGAGAAGAAAATGTCACAAAAGGTTTAGGTTCTTGTTTTTTCTATGTGAATACTTCCTAGTGTTTTATACATTACAAGATGTCACATAGTTCGACATACAATATAGTTTAATTGACACAAATTCATTGTGCATCTGATTTGGATTCTTGAAAATAATAACATACAGCAAATACTATCTCCAGTTCATTGCCCATAAATAAAAAAGTAGTGTGTGGCTTCAAAAAATCTTTTTGAGTTACACAATATCTGCAGCAATTGAAAGTAACTGGGCTCGAATTTCCTTAACAGCACAGAGAAGTCACTCTTAATATTTAAATCTTTGCGAAGTTAGACCAAGTTCTAACTACTGTACATCACAAACAGCATTTGTGCTTTGTCCTAAACTGTAACTGCCTTAGTGCTCGTGCTTCATGTTGTTATGAAAATTGGGTCCATCGTAGCTAGGGCTTTTTCTCTCAAATATCAAAACTGAATTAAAATGATTCATGCTTTTTTGATTCAAACATTTACAAAATCGTAACTGCTTTAAACAAGAAATGAATCACTGCAGAAAATGCAGCTGGCGTGCCTTGTGTGACCTGTCAGTCTGCATGCACTGTTACTTTACCTTCAGGGCCTTATTCACTGAGGCTTTCTTCAACCCCTCATGGTTAAATTCTAATGGATTGCGCTTTCCAGGCGGGAGAGAATGAACACACACCGGGTTAATTAAGGCATGCAGCAATGAGTAAGGTTAATTCATGGTAAGAAGCAAAGCAAACACACCACATGGGAAAAATATAAACCACATACAGTACAAAAACGTGACCACAAGGTTAACACAAAATTCAGACTGGAGCAGCTGGATTAACAACCTCAACCTGCGGAAGGGTACAAATTAAAAAGAGAAAGAAAAAAAGAAACCACAACCAAGCTTGTGTACAGTACACACCAGAAAAACCATTTCAACAAACCCAAAAATGAAAATGATTGATTTTGATGAAAGCAAATGAAATGCAGAGTTCTGAGGGGTCGCTGAGAGCCCTGGCCAATTAGTCTCAACCTATCCTGGGCAGCGTTTGGACAACTGTGTGCCGCCATTTGGGGAATCCTGGTCATAGTTGGCTAGTGACACGACTCCGGTTCGGACCCACGACTATAGAGCCCAATCTGCATTCAAACAAGCGCTTTTACTGGCTGAGCCTTTGGTAGGGCCCTGAACCACAATATTTTTTAAACAACATACAGTAAATAACATTTAACTCAAGTAACACATTAAGGTCTATTAGTATTTTTGGATTTCTACCATCATCAGAAAGCTGGTAAGGTCTGCAGTAACCCAGGAAGCACTTATACTGGGCTTATACTGGAAGCACGGCGCTCAAGGTGGTACTGAGAGCACATAACAAGATGCCAATCCATTGCAGGGCCAATGTAAAATATTAAATCAAAGCTACAGTGGCTAGAGTATCTTTGGGTAGTGGGAGAAAACTGGTACAATTATGTAGACATGGAGAATAAAAACCTCTATACAGTATAACAGGTGCTCCAGTATGGTACTAAATCCAGGACCTAAGAGCTCTGAGGCTGCAGTGTTAACAGACACGTGTTTGCATGATTCTACTAAAAATCCTTTAACAGAAAGCTGTCGGCAAGTTATTAAGCCTGAGTACCAAGCCTAACAATGGTAATATCCAATCCAAGAGATCTTTATAGGTGAGGCGGATTGTAAAGTTCTAAAGTTGGTACAATTAGTGCCTTTAAATAAATTAGTTTTTGAATTTATAGACAAATCATTCCCATATGTTGTTTTTATTTGGATTCTATAGTTTTTCTTTTTTATATCCTCTAAGCTGCAATCAAAAAATCAGATGCTGCCAATTGATGAATCCCTGTCACAGTCAGCTATTAACACAAACAAGACCCAGGCATGTGGGCTATACACTACAAGCCCCAGTCTACACTTTGAACACCTTTACAGTATGTGCCACTTAGGAAGCCCTATGGCTGTAATTTTATCAAGTGATGTCTAAAACATAGTAACACGTTTCATCCATCACACAGCACATCTGTTCATCTTGTACAGAGAGCTTCTATAGGCCACTTTGTGAAGAAAACCATTGTGTCTGGTATACAGTAACTGATAAGGCAAAGACCTGTGGAACTATTTAAAGAACGTAAAGTAGGGTTCTGAAAAATTGTCAGGCATCATCAAGTCCATCACCCTAAATCTCAATATGACAGCTCACATAGATGTGGTGTTTAGCTGTCTCGTGACAACTGCTTGGCAAGAAAGCTCTTCCAAAGATTGCTTGCCGACAGGTCCTTGTAATGACAAGTGCTACAGTGCCAGCTGTCATTATGTGTATTCTCTTCTTATCAGTCTAGCCAGTCATTTCTAACATTAAGATTTATATTTATATAGATGCTTCTGGTATTCGAAATGCAAAAATAAAAACCCAAATCTCATTACTTACTTCACACACAGCTGCTATTGAAATGCTTTCCTCTTATCCTTGATGTCATGAATGTTTGAACTTACAAGTTGAAAAATGTCTCCAGTTAATTCCAAATATCAAAAATTACTGACACATACCTACCTGTAATGTGGCAATTGATAACGCTTTATTTTCCTAGAACCTTACCAATCGTTCTTTAAATGTTAAGGAAAACAATGTTTGCAATGTTGAGGAATTGAAAAGGAAGCAGATTGTAGATGGAGAGGTCTCAACAATCCACTAACCTCCTGTTTTTTAACTCACTTCAGACAGACACCATTCTTCAACAGAATATGCTCATCATATTAGCTACATTTTAGCTGTAACTCTACCTCAGTTTCTAACACTAGACCCTCACCTAAACACCTGCTTATAAAATCAAAGTATTAATGACAAAGGTGTTAAAATGCATTTAAAAATTACACCCTGAATATACATTAAGCATTTCATTCATGCAACAAAAACAATGAACATGCTTTCTGGCATTACAAGACTTGGGTTTCGGTTGCCGTAACAACAGCAGGTCACACTGTGGCTAGTACTAGAAGGCAAAATTCCAGAAGACTCACAAATAATGTTCTATAGAGTGAGGTAGTATTTTCACAAAAGACTAGGCCCGAAGCTCTCCTCTCTTTTAAGTATCCACACCCAAAGTTCCCCTCGAAGACACTCTTTAAGAGGAAGGAAATGGAGAGAAGAAAGCAAAGAAAGATGGAGCTAAGAGGTTGAAAAAGTCATCGTTTTGGCTCCTTAATTCTGACCTACAGTATACATGCAAAACACAAGGCTGAAATTCTTTGGCGCAAACAGTATTTCTTTGGCAGTTTAATGACATATCAGTTGTAAAGCTAAGCCAACAATAAATTAGAGGCCGTTATACATTCAGACTGTTTTTCTGACAGTATTATTGTAGGGTATAGAGCAATGGGGATATTGATTCTAAGGAATAACAGATGAGTAAGAAAGAGGGAAAATCAGATGGCAGGGAAACGCAGCTGAAGTCAGGTCACAACTCGAGTACATGTTAACAGATGACTGATGTACAAAGCAGAAGCACAAAAAGTATAAAACAGGTATTATTTTAAAAGAGAATATTTTGACAACGCAGCAATAGTTGCCTAACATGTTTTCTTTCTCTATGCAGAAAAAGAAACCTTCCTCACAGAGAAACTATCAATTGGGTAAAACCTCATAAACAACCAAACTACAACAATCATGATAGGTAAATATGCCTTTCAGGCAAGAGACGTGATGGCTTAAAATGAATGGAGCTAGATTTGTGAATACACTGCGATTGTCATTCAATGTCTTAAAAAGCATGGAGAACCAGAAAGAAATGAATAAACTACTGCTCTCAGACAACAGCTGTGGGACAAGCTGTTCCTGTTTGGCCTACACCTTTCAACGTAAGCAGGGTTCCTGCTGCCACTGGCTAATTCTGATTTAAAAATATACAGTATGGCATTTAAAAGTGCAAAGTAAAAAAAAAATACTCAGAAAACTACCAAACCAAAATGAAAATATTATATAAGGGGATTTTTCCCTTTAATACATTAGAGAAATTATGGTTTCCATGGCGAGTGCCTGATACAGTATGTGTACTTACAGGCAGACTTCTGGCAGAATCCAGGTAAACGACTAGCAGTGATGATGAAAGGCCATCATTGGCTTGGCCTCTGTCTGCTTTAAGACCTGCCAACACCTGTTAAGCACAAAACAAGAGAGAGGATATTTCTAAATGCAGGTCGAACAAACAGACTGCTGACTGAAGGTTATAAGGCAAAGGGAAGTCAGAGCAGCTGGGTTTTACATAACAATCTGCAGTACTTGTTCCTGCTGGTGGTTTATAAAAGCTTTTACACATCGCCCATAAACTTTCTCCTTTGAATGTACTGTATTAAAAACCTGCTAAGGCAGAGAGAACACTACACTCATCTGCGATTATCATTAAGAGTGTCTAGTTTCTCAAAAGCAAATGGGTTACTATTTTGTTTTTGCATAATTTGTCTTCTGTACAGTATGTACTGTAATCATTATATGTATTTAATAATTAAAAAAATCAAAAAGCAGATCCAATAAGCAAAAAAAAACACCACCTAAAATACATATTTAATAGTGCAGAATCCAGTACATCAATCTCTCTTTGGAATATCATCATTAACATACATTATGGTGATTTGTTTGTTTCTGTTCAACAATACTTCCATAGCCTTAAGTACACAATCATACCTGAATAGAATTTTGCAGCTAGTCAAAAATACTTATCAGATGCTGAACAAGCTAAACATTACTTACAGTATATGTGAACAGAAACAATTTTGATGTAATATATTTAGACACGGTTATTATAATATTTCACTACATTAGTATCAGTTAATAAAAGACTGACTCCATCATCCATACCTGAGAATGCAGGTAAGAGAGGCCCTCTCTGGGCCTTCGTTTACACCTGCACCGTGAAGCCAGACAGATGGCAGAAAACAAAGTGTGTGGTCTGAGGCCGCGTGCTTGGTGCGATGCTTAAGGCTTTCCCCCACTCTACACTCTTAATAACACTTTTTAATCTTCATTTGATCTACCCCCCACCAAACCGTAGGTGGGTGACAACATTATGCACGATCCAGGCCAGTGTAAAAGCTTTGCTCCGTGATGTTAAGGGCAGAACAGGAAAATCTCTTTCTGGATTTTCTGATCCGCCTTCTCACAGATCGATGAGAAACTATTCCCGGAATGCGTCCTCACAAAGGGGCATTTGCTTGAGGCTTGTTACTCATGACGGGGATAGATTTTTTTAAAGGTTCTTAATTAAGAGATTTAGACTCTTTCACTTTCAAAAAGTGTAAAACCGCTGGAGTTTGCTAGGTCTGTATATATTTTTTTCTCCCCCCCAATGGAAAGAAACTGTTATTATAGCCCAAGTTGCACTCAGCAGTTTATACTCATTGCATTTAGTTTCTGAGTACAAAAAAAATTACATATCCTTTAATCCTTAAAGCCGGTCCTTATAAATCATTCTGAAATTCATTTTTAATATCAATCAATATCAATAGCAATCAACAGTGCTACTTAAGTATACAAGCATTTTTTAAATATATTTAATGAAAGTAAAGGTAAATCCCACCATTACAATTTCAACTTTAATGTCAGGTGGATTTGAAAAACTGGCTACTTTAATAGCAAAGCCACACATAGAAAACTGTTGCAGAAGCAAGATAACACATGATTGCGCAAAAAAATCAGCTGACCTTATTCTTTGTGACTCACTCACAGTTTTTAAGACATGACACAGAGACCTCAGAAAATAGAAACAACAGTTGTGCATTTATTACCTGATCTAGCTTTTCAGGAGTCGAAAGCAGTGTGAGCCATTCGAGTTTGAGGTGTAACTTTCCAGTGTTGACCTCTTCCAATATAAACCACTGGAATGAAAGAAATGGCCATTTCAAAGCCAAAATAAGCAGTCCACCCAGTACTTCAGTTACATACACTCTTTATATTGTAATGAGTCTATTTTACTTGTTAAAATTAGTCTAAACAGGAAGTGAATGTTTATCAGTCAAGGACATGGGTATAGCTATATCATTGTTAGTGCTGTTGGCTGAGGCAAAAAAATAAATATTTTGGGAGTTGTTTTACTTTTCTAATTGATTTTTTGCTCAAGGTTTATTATTTTGGGATGAGCTGACAATAAGAAAGCAACCCCCACCTCTGTATTAGATTCTGCTGTTTGACGAACACTTGTTGTTTTGGATTTCTTTTCCATGTTGTACATGTATTCAGTAACTTTTAACAGGATAAGTCAAAATTAAGCCAATAAGCATAATAAGACAGTGTCTGTGAACTTTTAAATTTTAGGTTTCAGTACTTGTTCTCTGAACTGGATATCTTATCTTCTTATGACAGTATAACATGAAATATTTTCCTTTTGTTGTGAAGAGAAAAACTTTTTTTAACAATGACACTCTTCACAAACACAAGATACCCAAAAAGCACTAATGTTTGAGAAGCTAAACAAAATTCACAATGGACATGAAAATGACAAGATATGTCACCTTAGTATTATGAGAAGGGAAGTGAGTAAATTGGGTAACATTTGTTCCAAGATAATGTGGGAAAAAAAACAAAATGGCACATTAGACCGAATTACCTCATCAACCTTTTGCTCCTTGTGAAGCTCAGTCAAATCAATCATCAGACTGCAATGAAAAATGTTAAAAGAATAATCACTTTGATTAAAATGGGCAGTCATTAGCACCTGCAAACTAAGAGCTGGCCATCCAGAGTTAACAGATTTATTTAATGTTTAAATGATAATAGCTGCAGTTCACAGTTCACATTTAACCTTATCATTAGATGGCCACCCCTGACATGGAGAATGTTAAAATTAAAGTCAGCCAAAGCACATTGATAAAGGAGAATGTTATAATCATACATGCAAGCCCTTAGTTATTCACCTGCCAAGAAAATCGTCTTCATCAGGGTCTTCATCAAACAGCTCAATCTCCAGGTGCTGTCCTGAGTGCTCATACACCAAAAACTGAAAATACATTTATGAAATCATAGGATTTATCTCATTGTTTCCCCACTCTAAAAAAATTAAATAACTAATTTTAGCTTGATTAAAGGTTACCACATACTACATCTCTTTGAGAAAGGCTGGTGTTCTGGAATCTGGAGTTTAACTATGAATGTTTAATGATTTATGGGAATGTCCTCAGTGAGAGCCACTGGAAATATACACTAAAGCTACTACTGGGGTCACAATATCTTGTTTAACAACAATTGTCATAATGGAAATCTATAACCATTATAACCACAAAGCAATACTGTACTTTGCAAAAATATCAGATTTCTCTTTCAAATGGTAACATGTAGTCTTCTGTATCTAATAACACAGAAATTCCTTAAAAGAAAAAAAAATTACTGCACTAGAATCGTCAAAAGTGTTTTTTAAACATCGTGTCTAATTAGTCCTGCATAATCTAATATTATTTTTGATAAGGCAGTTTTTATTTAACTACAAGCATGAGGTCTTTAGAAAATACCTAATGTCATCTACCTTACACTGCCCTGGACATAATAAATACCACAAAGAAGAAACAAAAGGTCTTAGTATTGTACTTTGTCTTTAATGGAAACTAAAAAGGAATTAAATAATTTTGGTTGAAACCAACTACTTGGCCCCTTAGAATACACATTAAGAAGTGGCCTAAGCAGATCTCTAAAGCAGCATATTTTGTAATGAAAACACGGAAGTATCTTTTTCTACCTCCCGAACTTCATTCCATTTGGGATTGATGTTTTCTTTCACTGTCTTGCTCCGGAATTGGTCGTTGCCAAGCTGAATGACACCGTAAGGGTCCGACTTCCCCTTGATGAGCCCTCCGAGGAATTTATCCTTTCCCAATAAATCCTGAGCTTCCAGAAAGTGCACCCGCAGGACCCCCTGAGCAGAGATGTTAATGAGGGGTGCTTAATACAGCTAAGAGCTGGGAACTTTTAAAAACACAGTATATTACCTTTACAGGGTAAACTACCCTATAAAAGTTTATCACGGTACATCTGCAGGGAGTTGACAATTTTCTCCATGATTATAACATTTGCTCTTCTTAGATTTACAATGGTTTGCCTGAGACAATGCTTTACCACAGGATTCTGTGATTCACCATGAAATAACTATGCTCTTTTAATTTAAAATACCTTTTGCCAATAAAAATAAAAAAAAACTTATAATAATAAAGTAGTACTAGACTCTTACATAAGTACTAACTTATTTGTGCTGTTTTTTTTTAGGAAAGAAGAACTGTAAAATGTCCCTCATGTTGAATGAATGTCATCTTGTGTTCATCACATCCACATGTCAAATGGTAGGGTCCTTAATGAAATTATTTCTTAATCTGGTTTAAAAAGAAGATGCATTTCACAGAACACACTTCCTGTTGTTTTGAATGTTGAGATTAACATGCAAAATCGACAGTTCAAATTACTGTAGCTACATCTTTTCTATTTCTTCACCGTGACAATCACTCAATTGGCCATGAAGTTAAAGGATACAGTTCCTACCTTCGGCAAGGGAAAGCGGAGCTGGGCAAGTTGTACATCCCCTACCAAAGGAACTGTGATCCGGTTGGGAAGAACCAGGTAACTGCAGATTATGTCTTGGATGAGACTGTCCGACAGGCCACTGTGGAAAAAAAAGGGGTTATGGCCTCTAGCACTCTGAAAATTATTATCTTTAATGGGAGAATACTGTATGGATAGAGTGATACAGAAGACTTAAGACTTAAGAAAACTTTAAACAATAAAAACAAACATCAAAACAGGAAACTGTGTCTCATCAGAAGGTGGAACTTAGTGTCTTAGTAGCATTTTTTCAAGCATATGGATGCTTGAGGAAGGAAAACATTAGTACGACAACAATGCAAAGTTACTACACTAAGACAAAAATGTACTTAAGATTAGATATAATTCCACTGACTGTGTGAAAATGGCCATGACAAAAAGTCCCAAAAGCAAAACAAATGTAGCACAAAAGGTTCGTTAATACTAACCTCTTCTATGAAAAGATTATAATAATATTGCACAATTCTATACTTTTTATTGACTCAGAAAAGTAATAAAAGGGTGAAATGGGGATTTCAAAATAGAAAAACATGAGCAATAAAAAAAAGCACAAACACTTTGGAGCTTGAGTTCTAAAATAACAACTTTAATTATTTTTTCCATCCCACTACACTCTCACTGAGATTTTCCATCTTTTTTTTATTTCTGGGGACATGGGCAAAGTGAAAATCCTTTAGAATGTATATACATTAAAGAAACTCAATGGCTTTCAATAAATAATCCATCACAGAGTGTGCAATGAAAAGTAACAGCATCAGCAGAATCTTGTCCATCCACAGCACAGTGTCCGAGAGCTCAGAGACCGAAAGATGACCTTGCAGTGGGATCCACAGAGAGGATGCTCTTGAGAATCAAAGAAGAGCTTCCTTTCATTTCACGCAGAGAGTATTCCAGAATGTGGATTTCCAGAATCTAGCACAACGTTCTCCCTCTTGTTCTCTTTGCAGCTGGCAGTACCAGTCTGTTTCCCAACACCAAGCAAGCACTGTGCAAAATCTTTGGTTTCATTAACATTCCCTGCTTTGAAAGCAATGACGTGAATTGTGTATGTAACTGGAGACCTTTTTGTCGGAGGTATTTACAGTACAGCAACACAGAACATAACAAATGCTTGTGTGTCTCCTGCTATGTAAACTAAAGAAAATGACCCAGAACTGTCCCATTTGTTTTTTTAATGCATTCTATTATTTTCAGTGTATTAGGTATAGGAAAAAACTCACAATTTAATTTATTTTTTTTCCAATTGTGTTATTGTTAACGTGTACATTAGTGGTATTTGTAGGTTCTAGAAAAACTATTTTCATGAAGTTCATTCTGCAGTCTTGCAACTTGTAAAGGAACACCTGCTGCCGAGTCACTAAATCAGTTACAGGACAGGCAGGTTACATAACCTGTTCAGAGGGTGAATATGCATTTCTTCAAATTCGGGGGCTTTATTTAGCTGCTGAAATAATTGTTGACACTTTGTCTTAAATCGGTACAGTTACTAGAACCTTAAATACGACTTGCCAAGATGAACAAGACTATCAGATCAACATATACTGTAGCATTACAAATTCTTGAAGGCAGAATGTGCCAACAAACATGCTTATAAAAATGCATTTAAATATAAATTTACATATGAAGTGTGCACATGAAATACCTGCTATTAACAGAAAGATAAAAACAGGTTAGCTTATGGATTAAGTCTAAAACAGGAGGTCAGTGATGAATAGAACAACTGGCGTTAGAGCACTCAAGATATGCTGGAGCACCAGTTAAAGGTGTCCTCTAAACTTCAATTATGGCAAAAAAACATAGGAATTACTTTCCAAACATCCATCCTTAAACTGTGAAAGTATCAAATACCAATTACTCCTAGCTGAAACACATCTTCAGTAGATCATGTTTCTCTTCAGTCCACCAGAGGGAAGCAATGTTTCTTATAATGACCAAACTAAAGAGAAACTGCTTTTTTTTAAGCAACACGCCCTTTCTTGAGAGTTATGAACACTGCTTGAGGTAAAGCTCAAAACGTCACCAAATTTCTTCATTTCAACAACTATTAACAGTTGCAGTGAACATAAAGTGCTAAAAGCATAACAGAATCATTAAAATATTGTTCATGCTTTTCTGCTTTTTCAGACTCCAAAAGATAGTTTGTTTTTTAGTATTATTAACAGCATAACTGTACATTATTACTGTACAAGCGGCTCCTGCATAAAAATGCTACAGTAGGTGTTTTAGCCATCGGTATTGTATGTTTGCTTTGTTGCACTGGTAGTTTGTAATAAGTGAACTTCAGTCCAGAAGCAAAAATTAAGTCACCTAAGTTTAAAGAAAATGGGACGAGTACTACAGTATCTGTAAGAATATCAGGAAATACTGTAACAAGGGAGCACCCTGATGATCCCCTCCCTTCCTTAAGTCATGTATTTTGGGTGTAAAATGGCCTTGTTCCAGAGGAAACGTGAGGGACATGCACACTAATTATGCTATAAATGCACAGGCTGTTGTAATGGGTGGAGCAAACACTGGATCCTCAAGGTAACCTAAGTTTCTGTTTCCATATACTTGAATAACCAGGACTGCCACATTTCAAGGCAAAAGGTGTGTCTATTTTCAACATTAAAAATAACCAGAACAATAGTCATGGGAGGCGTAATTATAAAGTACTGTATGTCTCACATTCGTATTCGTATAGGCAACTGGGAATGAATCGGGAACTCTTGTGCTTTACTTGTTTCAGGTGATAAAAGAGGAATGGAGCAAGAAGGTAGAAATTTACAACCTGCTGCCTAGCTGTTAATTCATCACTGCTATTTTAAAGCCCTAAGATAGACGAGGTTTTGTGTTATTGGTTTTCAATGTGAATAGTGGGAGATTTTGTGAAGCAGAGCATCCCTCCCCAACTATCCAATAGCACAAAATTGTAACATTTTGCTTGTGAAAGATACTTCTCCCATCTCTTCCATTACTACATTTCCCCAGGAAGTCCATGGAATCTGTAAGGACACTGAGAAGTCAACATATGCTAATTAGAATTTGATTGAATAGGACACAGTCACTTTAATTAAACTGCATCTCATCTCAGGTGTTACTAAGGTTACTGTTGGGACCCCGACACTCAGGTTTGAGAATCTTAATTGAGGCAATGGAGTTCAATTTACTTTGGTCCAAAATGTATTTCAATTGTGCCTGTTCACTTTTTGAGCAACTTATCAGAAGCTATGCCTTTTAAAAACAACATATCCTTCCTATGCAGGGCATTGTCAGCTAATATTCAAGCCAGCGTGGTGTTCATTACATTAATTTATGATTTTAATAGGTTTCCATAGCATGAATGTAACCATACAGCATAAGATAATAGACTCTTTCTGGACTGAACCATTAGTTGTTACTAACCCAACTGTACAAACCTCAGATGTGACTACACAAACAACTGCCTGATCAATAATTACAAAATAAAAAAATCCCTCAAAAGAAAAACAAAATCAATTAGATGCTGATGCTACTAAATAACATGGTTACTGTGGTTATTTAAGCAAAACAACACTACTTTAATTCCATAATAGATAGTGTAAATAGTCTAATAACCTTCACAATTAAATTTTACAGGGGAACAGGGGGTAACAAAGGATTTGCAGTGCACTTTAGCCCATTCATTGTGTGCCTATATCCTCAGGAAATACTTCAGGAAATACAAAAACAAAATAAAACAACTCATATATCTTAAAAATGTATCACGCCATGGGGAGGTTCCTGTCTCTCTCCCACCTGCTCATTTAAAGATATAATTACATGGGTGGGCAGTGCTTTTCTCCACAACCTAGTGATTTTTTCCATTTAAGGGAATCTTGAATGTCCGTGTCTGCTTTCATCACCTTAGGTTCCATTCATTTTGACAGGTCCTCACTAAATGCAGTACTTAAAAATAAATAAAAGCTAATTAAATAAATAAAAGATATTTAAAAACAATCACAAAGTAAATAATAGATGTAAGAATATCTACAAATAAAAAGAGGCCTATCCTTCCTTGTTTACTGGCTACTTATCGGAATTTCCACAATTCCATCCAGTTGTTAATCCCAAATTCCAGTGGTCTCCTCTCAGAGAGTCAGCTTCTATTGTTAACTGGTAAAATCTGTTCATGACGCATAACTGAGAGTCTCTGAGCAAGGAGGTGCTCACTGCTTTTCAGTCCTAATGCACCCACTCTTAATTTCCACTTCGGACTAGGGATGCTTTTCAACTCAAATTCACTTTTAACTACATACTGTACAGTACAAGCATTTTCTTGGGCTTTACTGGTTACTCATTTTCTATAAAAAGAGACAATGATGAAACTGTGGGTTGAGTAACTTTACATCTTAACAGTGATCTAAGATCTAAACTCTTGATCTAAGAGTTTAAAGGGTTTTAGTATGTGTTTGGATTTACATCTTTCAAATGTCTTTCCCTTCTGCCTTGAGGAACCTTGAAATGATAAACATGCCTTGCTCTTAATAAAATCAAGGATGTCTGATGTTGACTGAACAAGCTCATATTTCTCTAGCTCTACATTTCTTGAAGAGGGACTTCACTCTGACTTTTGGGGGCCATGGCAGTTGAGTAACAAAGGATTCTGTCTATGGACACACCTGTCATTAAACATAGAAAACAAAAATAGCAAAGAAAATGACCTATTCTTGTTAAATTGCAACAAATCTGCTAGCTCACAGAACTGATCAATATGCCCCTGCACCATGTTTCTAATCAGACTGTAACAATGTTCACTAACGGCAGTGCAACAGATTTTGGAAAGAACAAAACACAAATACAGAACAATGGAAACACTTGGGTAAATGAGGGACACCAAGTATCAGCTGAGGCTCATGTGTTAATTAAGCAAATGACATCCCAGCATGTATACGCATGAAATGCTGGACCTGGTTGCCTGCAATTCTGGCAAGCATGACTGAAAAAGGAGAGCTCAGTGACTTAGAAAAATACAGTATGGTGACTGTTATTATGCAGTGCACATTATGCAGGAGCTTAAGAAACCAATACAGCTCAACCTGATGACTCTGTGTTCATGAGAAACACTTAAGATGTCAGCATGGGACACTAAGGGAAAAGACATTGGAAGCAAAGGATAACAGTGGGCAGATGCTGATATTTGGATTCATACTTATGATGATGATATCGTTGCATTAATTCAGAGTGCATGTACAAAACAAAATAGGCAGGCCATTGCAGAGCGACCGACTGCAAATTGTACAACGCATCCACCTTGCGTCTGGGGAGAGGCAACACTGACAGTGACCTGTTTCTGGACTGAACGCATCTACACATCTACTGCTACATCTGTTCTCTTTCTTTTCTTTTCCCGTTTACAACCGTTTTTTTGTGCAATATATGCCAGGGACCCGTGCAATACATCTATATTTATATCTATATTTACATCTATATTTATATTCATATGTGTGATATGATTTTTCTGCGTACTGTTCTGTTCTAGTTTGTTCTTTGTGTGTCCGGACTGTGAGTAACTCTTTTAGTGCACCCCTCACTGTACTGAGTGTATTGTATGTATTGTCCTTTTATTATTATTATTGTATCATTCGTTACACTGTGGCTGTGTTGTCTGTGTAAAGCTGCTGTTGCACTGCAATTTCCCTCACGGGATCAATAAAGTATCTATCTAAATTTCAACCTGGGCCACAAGCATCCAGCTTAATGAAGAACAGTCTGCCAAGAACTCCACAGAGAAGTGCAGTGATGCAAGTTTAAATTCACAGGAAGAAGGGGAATAAGATTCATTGAAGACTGACTTTCATGTGGAAGAAAGGCGTGACATCCGGCATGGAGACATCTACAGTAGATTGTTGTAGATTCTGCTGTGGGCCAGCGCCCTGTTAACAGATTTTACATTGCTATTTCCATTTTGATTGTCCGCTATTTGTAGCTGAATCCTCAACTTCCATCATTACAGTAACTGCCACCATTACAATTACAAGAAGATTCCTGGAACGGATTATAGTATTAAGTGCATTTTAAAAATTCATGCTTAACTACTAACAAGTACATCAATATCACAAAAGATGTAGCATATCTATTACAGGGTACCAGGGTTTGCCAAATTGCTCATTTTTTATTGATAACATTTAATGAAAGTATCAGATGTTTCCTGTCACTGTTTACCATTCTCTTGCATTGCCTTTAATGAATTTAGGCCTAGTTTTGCTTATCAAACTGCTGCAGGTCGGTGACATTTAAAAGCTTCTTTGCATGAACAGCTCATTTCAGGTCCTGCCATGACATTTCAATGGCGTTTCGGACTGGGTTTTCACTTCAGTCATTCTGATGAGGCACGCTTGCATGTTGAGGACCACTGTCTTGCTGGTCTTGCTGCATCACCCAGAAATCTTTAGTTCAAACACTTCATTCGTTTGTACTTTATAACGCACATTATTTTCTATTTTGCATTCACTCATTATGAAATCAGTAACTCAACTGGATTGGGTTTCCCACTCTCACCCCTCTAACTTCATGGGGAGATTAAAGTCGAGTGAACAAACTCCAACATGCCCTCCTGTCAGAGCTGTGGACGCCCTGGCTGCCTGAAACCCACCTAGGAGAGGTCATTTACAGCTGCTGAAGAAGGTGTCAGCAGTTACTGAATCTAAGGGTTTATACACTTAATCACGAGGTTAGTTACTGTTGAATCAATGTGTAAATTACATTAACCAGAATATCTTAATACTTTATTAAGACTTTAATGAAGATGTTTTAAATAAAGTATGTTTTAGGTATAAAATATACATGACTACGGAGTAATCTAAGGGTTTTACAAACTTGATCATGCACTGTACTCCTCATATGTATGCACTGCTCCTCATAAAGACATACTGAAGTAAGGAAATGTTTTTCCCCAAAACACACAAGTGAGTACAGCTTTCAACAGATTTTGCACAGCTGACAGTAAATCAGATCTGCAGGTGAATCGGCATTTTTGCCCACAAGCATTTTTTTAACCAATATTGAGATTAAATATTAAACTATGTCATATACTATTACTACGTGGAGAAGCAGAGGGAGCAGTGATCAGTGATATTCAGCCACCTGAATACACGACAGATCTGGTTCTTTGTAAGCAAGCAGTTCAATATTCTTCCTCACTCTTGGTCAAGCGATAGCAGTAAACACAGTATTGGAAAATATTCAGATGGTGGCAGCTGTCGTCTGACATCCCTGCTTGCATGCTGTAGTGAGCAGTATACTGAACCCATAGATGTAATAAAGATATAGAACAGCATGTAATGACCAAAAGGCAAAGACACTTGAATGGTGTGAGATACATGGTAGAAAAGGAAGCTTGCCTTCTATTGTTTTATTTCCTTTGATTGCTCACTTACTTTAATCCAGGAATGTCCAACATATTTGTGAGGCCTGTCCAGTTAATGTCCAGCAGCTGCAGAAGAAAGCAAAGTCCATTGTTATACAGGATACGGTGATTGAATGCTGAAAATCAATAACATACAGCAATGGGAACTACCTTAGTGTCCCCCAGTTGTTTTATTATAATGACCTGGTTAGAAAATCAATACATTTATTACAGCCAAAGGAAGAGAGAACGTTTCTGAAGTACCAAATTCAGCATCATTCGTAGAACACCAAAAGGTGAGGTTTTGACATAACGGAAAGGCGGCATTCCAAGTTAACAATATTCCAAAAGGTAAGGAAAGGGCAGTAGCTATTTCAACTGAGAGCCACCTTAAGTAATAAACCACGAAAAAGATACCACGTCACACATGGCAGTCATTAATTAACGAAAATAAATGTACACATCTTGCACTTTTCCTTTAATTCCTCACCACCTATTGCAAAAAAGATCAATAACGCCAAAGTAAATATTTCCCAATGCTCTGAATCAGATTTGTAACTCTCAAAGAAAATGTAAAAGATAAGCTATTGTGAAGAAAACACAGATTTGTGGTTAAAAACTGGTTAAAAAATGAACTCATGGTCTTGCATACAGTAAGTGTCTGTCTTATGGAGGTGGGGTGGATTCCTTACTTCTTATACACTATGAACAGAACATTCTATTCTGGAGCAGAGCTAATAAGGTAGAAAGCAAATTTTTAAGAGAAGTGCTTGGGATTTTAAGAAAATTTTCTCTGCACAAATTGAATATAAAAATTGCCACTTTCCTTCTCTTTATTTTTGCTAAATGAAACTGAGGCTTTTCTAGGTTTGGCTTACACGTCTAAAACCAGCAGTTACATGTTAACTTGCAAGTAAGACGTAAACTTTTTGGTCTAAGGATAAATCAATATTTAAACACACATCAGTAATCTACATACTTGATACTTAGCACTGTTCTGTGTTTTATTAAACCACCCACACAAAGTTATGTCATCCATCCAATTCCTATACTTTATACACATACAAAATTAGAGACTTAAAGAGTTCTACCTGGCTTTTACTGACTTTCATTTCATTAGATACTCTTATTGTAATTGTACAGCTGTCACAACAATTCACAGCAAACATCACATGATCAGAATGTGGAGTAACCCAATTCAGCAAACAGGTTCAGAAGGCTAATTTCAAGATAAACATCAGATATAATGCAAGAATCTTGTGCATTGTAAACAGTGTCTTGCAGAAGCATTCACCACCTTCCAATTAGGTCCCTTTTTGCTAAATTACAAATGATTTACTGTACTGTATGTACTGTACTGTGTAGGCACTGTATGTATACATTGTGTATTTATGTCATGGGCCAAACACGAGAGCTTCAGAAATTGTAACAGTGTATCTCATCTAACCCTGGCTTTTGCTTGGATGCGTCCCAAAAAGCACATTAGCCAGTTGGGTAGATATAGTAGAAGACGGATGTTAAAAACACAGAAATAAGGTAGGATGTTATGTTATCATTGATATTGCTGTCAATGCATGCAAAACGTTACTGAGGATGCTAAAAGCCATGTTCATCACATTATATATATATCTCTCAACGGCAGGTTACGTACAGCATCTGGACTGGGGAAGTGTAGTGATAAAGACAGTACAGCACTTGTTCCTTATTGTCTCATTGTCTGACTGTGTTTGCTTACAGTATATGAATAAAGATATATAGTTCTGGAATAATTTAGCTTCTGTCCACAGTAGCCAGACCATCGCTTGACTTTAGCATCTATCCATAACAGACTTGTGACACACGCTGATTCCAACAATTAGAGCAAGAAATCATAAAGTTACAAAAGTCCCTTTATGTAGAACATGAGGAAAGCATGTGATCATCTTAACATTACTAATATGCTTCTGCAGAATGACAGAACATCTACTTAAACTCATAAGACTTAATGACATAAATGTTTTCACTGCAATATCTGAAATTTCTATCAAACTTTAAAAAAATAAAAATGGATCACAGAATTAAGCAATTCAATGTTCAGTGTGCTCTGTCTGATCTGTAGGTTGCTGCTGTTGCTTTTTTTTTAGGGAGTCATGCTCCCATTTAAGTTTAATTAACACACATCCTCTGATAAAGACTGGGAGGAAATGAAGTTTGAGTTATATAAAACAAGGGAACAGGTGTACATTAAGCCCACAGTACCACTATCAACAAACAATCTTTTATTCATGCCATCACATTTTCCTTCCTGTGCATGCTTCCTCACAGTAGTTAGCAGTCAGAGAAACTAAGCAACTCCACTGATACAGAGTCCATAAATGCATATAACAGGATGAACAAGAAACGTAAAACAGGATAATATGAAAATACTAATCGCACAAAATAATAATTTAAAGTTTTCTACTTTTCTGGTTGGAGAACCAGTTTTCAAAAAATCCCTTTCAATAATGATAGATAGAAAAATCAAACTTAAGTCCAACATATTAAAAAGAAAGTTACAAATTCAAAGATCTACTGAAATACTGCCACTGAACAAGAGAGCCGATTTTATATACTATTAGTATCACAGGGATATGAGGTTTTTCTGCGCCTAAGGGAGGATTTTGTTACGAGTCTTCAAAGACTCTTTAAAACCCCCATCTAAAAGTAATGTGCATAAAGTAGAAATGTCTTAACTACAAGTAATTAAGCTTTCATGCTGCATTTTTAGAGGCATTTTTCACATTACCTTTTATAAAATTGAAATCAGTCGTAGATACTCAAAGATATTTCATTTTTTTTACAGCCAAATGCTTTCATTCGGAAATCAATACAGTTATGTACCCTTGACATTTAGTAGGAAAGCTGTAAAATCCATGTCAGAATATTTACCAGTGCAGTACAGAAACTGCACAACAAAGCACAGATTCCCAAAAAGTGTGACCACAACAATATACTGTATGCATCACCTTAAACATATGCATTTTGTCAAGTTAAAACTGAAAAGGATCTATAAACTTTCTGCGAGGAAATTTAGTGCTCTTGCCTCATAAAGAAAAGACTGAAGTGACTATTTCTGTACCTATCAATATAAATATAAGGAAAGCAAACGTTGTATAGCAACAGAATCGTTGCCCATTCTCACTGTAGAATTAACTTACAAGAAAGCTAAATAATAAACCCTTATTCTTTCAAAACAACAGTTTCACAGAAATAAAGTGAAACTTGTGCTGTCACTGAACAATTGTAAAAGAAAATTTTGCCTTTGCACCTGCCCCCAGAAATATAAAGTTATTCAGGAGAGACCCTTAACAGATTTGACTGTTTTGTACTGATTTTGTTGGGTATGTTCGCTGAATTTCTAAAATAAGTTTTGATATGTAAAGGGTATACTTTGTTATATAGCATAAATTCAATATAATGGATGCAAAAGCTACAGTATATTTCTTGAAAAATGGTTCAAATATTTAAATTTCCAGACTGATTATCTGAAAAAGAGCAATAGGCCCAATTTTTTCTTTAGTCATTTGCTTTGGAATCTATCTTCTTGATTACTCAAGCTACGCAAAGGATGATCAAGAACACTGTAAATTCATCCATGGATTTGCAACATCTTGAAATGATTTCTTTAGACCGCAGGAGAATAGCAATGGATAGTAACAGCATTTCCAGAACTGCAGATGGTGTGACTGGTACTGGCCTAGTGACTCACAGTGATGTTTACAGACTACATGTCTGTTGCCCTTACTGGATTAATTGATTCACCCTCTTTCTGCCTTTACAGTAGGGCAACTAGTTGATATGCAATACCCAGCTGTGGAGATGAGTTTTCCACTCCAGGTCTTTTCCCTACAGCTCCCTTAGAATGAGGCCATTTCACTGTTGAGGCTAACCCCAGGCAGCTACTGTACTCTTAATTAAAAAAAATATATTGATTTCCATAGAAAGGAATTAGTTGTAAATAAAAAAAAATCTAGTGAAAAGTATTCTGTTATCACAGAGAAGAATACCTGGTCATTTAGACTAAAAAACTAAAAACATCAAAGGGTTTCAAACGTTTCTGAGTGGAGTCAGGTTCCAATCAACAGTTGTTGTGTCAGGTTTTAAATTATGACCCAAATAGGACTCCATGGCTGGTTCCACTCCAAACAGCAGGAGTAGAGTATTGGCAGTGTACTCAAATCCATACCTGAAACAGGTCAGTTGTCTATGAAGCACTGCAATTTAAAAACCACTTGGCCACACTTGGGAGGTAAATTTACACATATTTACAGTAGCCACAACATTTTTTTTCACAACAGTGTATAACACCTGTTAGACTCTCTCTCGTCCACAAAATTCAAGAATGAGGTTTCACAATGGTTAACTTATTTTCTGTTAAAGAAAAAAACAAACAGGGAGGGTACACTCTACTCCTAAGCTGTTGTAATAAGTTAAGAGTTGTTCCAGTTGCCAGGCTGGCTGGCATAGTGAAAAATTGCAGCTGTGCTCCAATGACTCATCCTCAGAACTGCTGCCAAGATTTGTATCCACAGGAACAGCAGTTAGGGGGGACACATTAGTACTTTCCAAGCAAAACAAAACAGTTTTATCAGTGCTTTATGAAAAAAATAATCGTTAACGTATACAGTAACATGATGCAGAAAATGGTTCGTTCAAAATGGGATTTGGAAGGCACATTATTCAGTAATCAGCTCATGAAAAAAAAATTATATTATATTTACATATAGTTGATATTCTACAGTGTACGGATTTTCCCAAGTTGCAGTTCCTCTCCTTAATCATATATTGACATGAAAACACACATCCTAATTCCTGTTAAAGATGCCCATGGCATGGTATTCTGCTTCTTAGCTTGTCTTAAAGCAAGTCGCTCTTAAAATGAACGACATGCCTACTCGGCAACTGTGAAAATGGTGGAAGACCAGAAACTCCGCAGGGCCAACAGCTAAGAGGCTCAAGGGAGAAAGTGGCATGAAGTCTAAGGCAGCAAGTACAATGATGAACCAAATCGAAACCTGGAGTGCATAGACACAGAACACAGAAAAAAATGCCAGAAATGTTAATTAAAC